TAACTGTGTGCCGTTCTCCAGTTGCCACTTCCTGGGCTGATGCCTTGGCCTGCTGCTCAGTCATCACTATGGTCCCCCGTGGGGGGAACTCATGGACATGTCAGCACCAGCAGATTGTGCTTCTCCAGAGCCACTGCCGTGTGTTGGCTGTGCCACTTGTGTCGACCGCCTGGCCCTTTCCACATAGGAGGTGGGAAAGGTCAGCGGGTGGCTCTCACCATGCCACAGTGCACGAACCTCATCCTGGTGTTGCTGACTTCTTTACTCTTCCTTTGACCCAAGCTTCCCATAGTCTTTAAATTTAAAATGGATAAATTTGTATTTTAAATAAGTGATGCAGTTGTGTGATTTAAAAATGTAGATCTGTGAACCGGTAGCAGATGAAAAATCTCCTTCCCATCCCTGACCAGCTCCCAGCCCCCAACCAAACCACTGAGAGAACTTTCTAGACTTTTCCCTCTAGGGAACTTTAGGGCACACACACACACACACACACACACATATATCTGAATAATTATGTACAGACAAGTATGCTAACAAATGGCATCACACTGTACGCATGGCTCTAAAAGTTGTTTTTGTCATTTGTCAATATGTCTTAGTTTTTTTTTTTTTTTTTAATTTTTATGGTGCTGGGATGGAGCTCACAGCCTCTTGTATGCTAGTCAAGCGCTGTACCAAAAATATCCAAGCTCAATCCTGGATATTTTTCCCATAGCAGGATATAAACTATTTCATTATTACTATTATTATTATTATTACTACTGTTATTGGCAGTACTGGGGTTTGAACTCAGGACCTTGCACTCATTAAACAGATACTCTAGCACTTGGGTCAAATCTCCATATCTTTTGGATTTGGGTATTTTTTTGTGATAGGGTCTCACATTTTTCCTGGGTCAGCCTGGACTTCCATCTTCCTAGTTACACTTCCCTGGAAGCTGGGATCACAGGTATGTTCCACCATGCCAGCTTTTATTGGTTGAGATGGGGTCTTGATAGCCCACCCTGACCTCAAATCTGGTCCTCCTGATGTCTGCTTCCAGAGTAGCTAGGATTATCAGGTTTGAGCTACCTTGACCAGCCTCATGACTATTTTAAAACTGCAAGTATTTTATTAAATGAATGCATAATAATTTATTTTGCTGACTTATTTTTTACTTAATGACCTTTCCCATAAGCAGTTTAGGTAATAAGCTCTGTGTGGAGCAGGGCCTGGTGTAGGCTGTGGTATTTAGTGTCTTAAGCTGTTATGCATATCTATCTTTTTTTTTACAGTACTGGGGTTTGAACCCAGGACCTCAAGCTTGCTAGGCAGGTGCTCTACCACTTGAGCCATTCCACCAGCACAATTATGCATATCTTAAGCTGCTTAAAATTGCTTGAATTAGTAGGCCGCCCCATGGCTCACACCTGTAATCCTAGCTACTCAGGAGGCAGAGGTCAGGAGGATCAAGGTTTGAAGCCAGCCAGCCAAATAGTTCATGAGTCCCTATCTCGAAAACAACCATCATGAGAAAGTGCTGTTGGAGTGGCTCAAGGTGTAGGCCCTGAGTTCAAGCTCCAGCACCACCAAAAAAAAAACTTGAATTGAGTAGATTATGAGTCAAAAGATCAATTAAAAACAAGCCTTGGGAGTGGGTGCTGGTGGCTCACTCCTATAATCCCAGCTACTCAGGAGGCAGAGATCAGGAAGATTGAGGTTCCAAGCCAGCCCGGGCAAATAGGTAGCAAGACCCTATCTCAAAAAAACCCATCACAAAAAAAGGGCTGGTGGAGTGACTTAAGTGGTAGAGAACATGCCTAGCAAGTTTGAGGCCCTGAGTTCAAGCCCCAGTACCACCAAACCCCCCACCCCAAAATAAAAAAGTATCCTTGGGTCTACTGCTGTGTTTTCCTTCCTGTGTTTGTGTTGTGGTTCTCAGTGCTTGTGAGTTTGGGTGTGCAGTTAAGTGGCCTCGAGTTCAGAAGACATGGAGTAACTCACCAGAGCTTTTCTTGTTCTCAAGCTACTTTTCTTTTATTTGTACAGATTGATGGGTTTCATTGTGACATTTTCACATTTGCCTAAGATGAAGCTAATTTTGCTGCAGATTGGGTTTGGTGGGAAGGCCCAAGCACAAACCTACATGCACACCCACGCAGTAGCAAGAAGGAGGTAGGACGTAAAGACTCTTCCAGCCAGGTGCTGGTGACTCACATCTGTAAATACTAGATACTTGAGAGGCTGAGATCGGGAGGATCATGGTTCAAGGCCAGCGTGGGCAAAGAAGTTTGTGAGACCCCATCCCATCAGAAAAATAGCTGGGTATGTAGTGTACACCTGTTACTCTAGCGATAGGGAAGAATAAAATAGGAAGATCACGGTCACGAGACCCTATCTCCAAAATAACCAGAGAAAAAAGGGCTGGAGGAGTGCCTTAAGTGGTAGAGTGCCCCAAGTTCAAACCCCAGTACTGCCAAAAAAAAACCCCAAAACAACCAAAAAACCCACCAAGAATCAGCCATAACCACCTAATCTCTCCTTGTAATATTTTCAGGAAACACTTCCTTTTTAGAAAAAAACACTATGATTTCTTGCAATGTCTACTTCCTAAGGCCTTCTGTCAGGCAAAGTTAAAGCATCTTTCTTTTTTTGGTCTGGGTAAAAATGACCAAAAGCAATCATTGACTTCAGCTCTTCAAAATACACTGTTGCTTAATTTGCTCAAAACGGGAGCGTCATTTGTTAACATAGACTCTTCCAAAGAGTACTCAAAGAACAGCTCAGTTTCCACAGCTTTGCCTCAAGTATAAACCTTGATAGGAGCAGGTATACAGGAAAGAGCTCTACACATAGAGATGCCAAAAAAGATTTGCCCACGGAAAACATGCAGCATGGATCTGAAAATCCACAGACCGAGTAGATTTCTAATACATCTGTGAATTGTTTGTTCATCTGTAGGAGGGAAAAAACCCGACGGGAGGCTGTGTGGTGTTCTCTGAGACGGTTAAGCATGGAGTAGTTCAGGACGTCCCTCTCTGACACAGAGAGGTGACCATGTTGGGGCTTTCCCAGGCTTGTCCCCAGCCACACAGCTCTGAAGGAGCCAGGCCACCCTGCACCACAGCACGGGTTTTCTGCACCTTTTCCCCTGACCTCTCATCACTCAGTTTTTCCAGCTTCAACCTTAGCGAAACTTCTGTGGCAGCTCTGCCTCCACATCAAGAAGAAGCAACCCCTCGTCCCCACATGTCTTCTGACCCCCGCCGGTTGCCCTCCACTCTCTGAGCTGATACCTGGGAAAAGAGAGTGCAAAGGCTCACAGGAGAGTGACATCAACTCCTTGCCATGGCTTCCTGGTTTGTCAGCTTGGTGGGCTGATGACAGTCCCCAGAATTCCCTTGCTAGTGGGAGTCTGGTTGGGGCAGGTCCTCAAGGACGCCCGGAGAGCTGGAGGGTGGAAGGGTGGGGGAAGCTGCTTCAAGCACCACATCCAGCTTTCCCAGTTGTCCGGGTCACATGCCCTGGTGCTGCTGGGAAGAGCTTTTACAAGTGACAAACATTCCTAATCAGCAATGTGCGTCAATCAAAGGTGATAACCCTGAGTTTTTGGCTCCGCTTTCTCAGTTGGAAGCCGTTTTATAAAGGCTTCGCCCTTTCTCAAACAGAGTTGCCAAAGTGCCACTGTGTCTGCCATGGTCACCCATGTTCAGGCACAAGCTCCAGTTGCCCCCTGCAGCTGTTTCCAGTCTGTGACCTTCCCTCCCTGTCTCGTGCACTTGCCTGGCTGAGCCCTCAAAGCAAGTAAGGCAGGTGTGTGTATACGTGTCTGTGTACGTGTGTGTAATACTATGTATTTCATGTTATACATACACATTGATTCTGCATATGAAGTATTATACATGCAATACTTATACACGTGTTGTATACATAATGTAAAAATTACTGGCTTTTCTTCTCCGGTTAAACTTTTCCTAAGTTTGGTATCAGGGGCAGGGATGGTTTCAACATGTACCTAGAATGTGGGGGGGCCTTTGCGACTGACAGTGGGCAGAGGTTGGAAGAATTTTGAGCTGCGTGGCAGAAAATGGTCTGTCATCAAGAATGGATTGCTCACAGAGGTGTGGCTGTTACAGGTGTCACCTCTGAGGACTCCAACAAGAGTGAGATACACATTGTAGGAAGCTGAAGCAAAGAGAATCCCTAAACTGTCCGTGGAGTGAAATTGTCTGTGGGGAGCAGAGTGTGGAAGGGATGAAGAAGGTTAAGTAGCTCAGGACATTCCCAAGAAAGGGGTTAAAGCTATTGCCTGGTTTCTTCTTGTTGCTTTCAGTAAAATGGAACAGGAGACAGACAAATTGACGGAGGAAGCAGTAAACCAAAAGGAAACCGTTCTGACATTTTGAAAATCCTTAGCCTTCACAGGTGACACTAAAGATGTGATAGCTAAGAGATTTGCAAGCCACCAGGAGTTCAATAGCTGCTAACAACCACCCAAGCTTAGGAGAGGATCCTCCACCTCCGATGAGACCCCAAACCTGGCCACGCTAGTATGACAGTCTTGTGAGACCCTGAGCAGAAGACACAGGTAACTTTGTGGCAATTTGTTATAGAGGAATAAAAGTTACTGATGTTCCTTGCAGTTTATACACTGAGCAGAAGCAGAAATAAGCCAAGCTTAAGACCTTTTAGTATAATCACGATGTTGATAAGAACAAAGAAATATTTTGCAATAATTTGGATGAGATAAAGAAGGAAGAAGCATTTTGCAATAATTTGGCTGTCACTCTCTCAGAAAAGTGATATGAAGCAATTTGTATTTCCTGACTGTTATCAGCAGAAACCATGATTGGATCACAACTGTCACTGTCTACCTGCAGGTATGATTTTGCTAGCATGGGAACTGCAAATTTTTCCATTGATGGAATGGCCCAGAACCACTTCGATACTGTGCCCACATTTCAGGTGGTAACTGATCAGAGGGAGGGCGGTGTGGACCACGGCTGGACAGCACTCACCTGTGCCTCACCCAGGTGTCCGCCTCGCTTGCTCGTTCTGTGTAGTTCTCTGGCAGGAAGCCTCTGCACCCTGTCCGCTGGGAGGTCCCGATGGCCCAGCCCTCGCTGGCTTCCTCCTGCTGAGTGGGGTCCACAAAAATGAAGTCGCCGGGACTGAGTGTCAGCTCGTCCACGTTCTGGGGCTTGTACTGGAACCGGGCCTTCAAGGTCTGGAAGGGGGGCAAAGTGGTTTCGTGTCTGCAGCACGGGTTTGCACTGGGACGCCGCAGCAACGGGAGGCCAGTCAAGTTCTGCCACTTGCTTTCTGGCTCCTCTGTGATCTATAGCTCCAAGACCTCACCATGCTTTTGTCTAATAATGCATAGCACAGATTAGAGCCAAGTGCAACAGCAGGGACTCTTTGGGCAGATTCAGAAACACATTTTAGTACGCATCTTCCTTCCTTCCACACATCCATCTTGCCATCCATTCATCCATTTGCTTCTTTTTATATGAAAGACCTTACAGTACCACTGGGAGTCATATCCACCTTCCTTGGCATGAGTCTATTCACGCCTTCTATGAGCTGGAGTGTGGCAGAGCCATCCTACCTGTTCCCAGGGTCTCAAAGGAGTGTGACTTGCTTTCTTTTTAAACCAATCAGTTCACAGGGGAAGAAGCCCTGGAACGAGCCCCCCCCCAGAATCGCTAATAAAATGACTTAATAAGCAAAGCATGTATTCATGCATCTTTCTGTGTGCTTGCAACTGGTATGTAAGAGAATTCTAGCTCCAAATTGCACAAAAAGAGGAATCGTCTCTAGAGAAGGAGCAGAGTCCTCTCCTCTCTCTGGGAGGCTGCCGGGACATTTCCTCACTCTGGGGAGGGCCAGTAGGCTCACCTGGTAGTGCACAAAGCGCATGTCTCGGGAGTACAGGGAAGCTGTCCACTGGCAGCTGTGGCCGGGCTGGATGGATCTGGCTAGCTGCTCCAGTGTCCTCTGGTGGTGTGGGTAGAACTTGTTCGCCAAGGTCAGGTGCAGTTGCTTGGTGCAGGGCTTCACGATGCAGTCTGTGGGGTCAGCAAACAAGCTGGTAGGGTTCTGGGCACCTCTACCTGCATGTCAGGTGAGCACAGGGGTGCCAGGCCCCTCTACCTGCATGTCAGGTGAGCACAGGGGTGCCAGGCCCCTCTACCTGCATGTCAGGTGAGCACAGGGGTGCCAGGCCCCTCTACCTGCATGTCAGGTGAGCACAGGGGTGCCAGGCACCTTTACCTAAACATCAGGTGAGCACAGGGATACTGGGCACTGACTGTCAGCGCTACCTTCCGAGAACGGGCAGAACTGCCTTTATAATGGTGCCTCTGGTCTCCACCCAGCCTCTGTGTTGGTGCTCCCCTCCCGGGCCCTGAGTTTCATGTTGGATACTGCAGCTTCTTTGAGAAGAAGGAAGGAGGCTGCTGGCTCAGGGCCCATTAGCTTGCAAACTAGTTTAATTGGTTAGATTGCATGGCAAGCAGCCCCTTCATTCTCAGAGTGGCACATGACTCACTAGTGCACACTCCTGGGCCCAGGCGCTGGATAACTGGTGTTTTGTTGCAGGAAGAGGCTCGAAGAAAATTCACAGAGGAACAGACTGTAAAATGCATCACCCCTCTGACATTTGCCTCACTTTTTGTCACTCAGGAAGCACTGTGAGCTGCTGAGCCCCAGGTCTTTTCAGGTGGCCTCTACTCTGGAAGCTCCAGTCAGCTCTTGGTTCCCATGCAGGCTCTGGGTCAGAGTGAAATGGCCAGTGTCACTGGAGCAGCCAGATCTGGTGTCAGCTGGGCCACAGAGCATTTCATGTTGTGGGGAGGGAGTTGGTGTCTTACTGGAATGGCACAGACTCTGCTACTGGGGGACCTGACTTCAGGTCCTTCTGCCCCTTTCAGCATAGTGACCTTGGCTAAGTGCTGTGTCCTGACTCAGCTTCAGTTTTGACAGCAGTGACTTCGGCATGGGCATAGCTGACTCTGAGGCTGTGGTGAGAAATGGATCTATCAGCTCACGGTCTCCTACCGGCTCTGTGTCACAGCTACACGCCACCTGCCCACACAATCACTTGCAATCAAAGGGGACCTGTTGTTCCCCTAAAAGCAGTCCAGGAAGGTGCGGGCCTGCTGGGAGTTCTGAGGCTGGACCCCCCCACATCTTCCTTGTCACAGGTGGCTGTTAGCAGTCTATTCCCTACTGTCAGGTCTCCTAGCCTCGCCGGGCCAAGCAGCCTAAGCGGGCATGTGTGGGTGGTTGGGTGGCTTTGGTGGCGGGAAATTCCTGATAGTTTTCAGCAGTGGGGGAGGGAGGCTTGCCACACTGAGAGTCAGCATGGCCTGAGAAAGAGCAGGCCTGGCTTCCCCGGAGAGAAACCGGAGTGAGTCACCAAATTCTGTCTTTTCTCTTTGTGGCCCCCCACCTGGGCCATATTTCAACTGGGAGGGCTGGTGCGGGCAGGATGCCTCAACATTGGCCCTCAGAGGGATTGGCGACGCTCCCAAACTGTCACTGGCCAGTCGTCTCCAGGAGACCCTCAGGGTCAGGCGGAGGGCATTGGCCATAGGAGGACAGGAGCAAGAGATGGCCATCAGCTCAGAACCTGCTCTCCTTGGAAGTGGGGTTGCTCAGCCTGAAGCCGAGTGGTGTGTGGCCCAAGTTCCAGGTCCACTAGAACTGCAAAGACACTATGATCTTTTCCCAAGACAGCTACAAGTTGTCATAAACAGGGTGGCTTAAAGCAATAGGATTTTATCATCTCACAGGTCTGGAGGTCAAAAGTTCAAAGTCAAGGTGTGGGTAAAGCATCTTTCAGCTTCTGGTGGCCCCAGGTGTCTCATCGCACCCATCTCTGCCTCTGTGGTCACACGGCCTCCTCATCTGTCTGTCCTCTCCTCTTCTTATAGAGCACCAGCTATTGGATTTCGGGTTATCCAACTCCAGTGTGACCTCCTCTTAACTAATTGCATGCACAAGGAACCTACTGCCAAATCAGGTTTCATTCTGAGCTCCCTGGGGGACGTGACTTTTGAACGGACCCTACTCGACACAGCACAGTGAGGTTGTGCCACACTCTACCTTCCACAGCCTCAGTCTCCCCATTTTCAGGTGAGGCTGATGAGACCCACCCGAGGACATGAAGAGCAGGTGAGATGCTGTTGTGGCTGTCTGAGGACAGTGGCTGATATACCTCAGAATGAGAACCACACTGCCCCTGGGAGGAAAGGGATCTTCACTGACCAAGTAGCCTAGTCACTATGGCCTGGGATGCACAGAGCCATCGTGCACAAGAGTCACTTGTGTGTGCCTTTGACCGGGGCTGCCTACCTGCCAAGATGGATGCCTCCGTGGCAAAGGCCATGGCAAATCCCCGGATGACGTCAGCAGGGCTGTCGTTGATGAAGAAGCCCAGGTAACTGATAGAGGAGTGGAGAACCAGAGGGACGGTGGCAGGGAAGGACCCCAGGGCCCTGTCTCCTGCTCTCTTTAGTGCTTCATACAAACATTCCACCTTCTGGTCTTCACACTGAAGGAGAGAAGAATGTGTCCTCTTAGCTCTTGTCAGCGTCATTTGTCCAGGAAGAGTCAGGTGGCCATGGCCCTTCTCTGTCCACACCACCGTCACATAATTATCCAAGTGTCCCTTTGTGTCTGGGTAATGCATTCGTTCCATAACTGCTGCTCAGTGTTTTAGCTATTTCAGGTAAAATTCATTTGGAAGTGGAGTCTCCTTTAACTGCCTGGGTTGGAAGTCCCCTTGTCACTTGTGTTCCCTCCTCTGTCACCTTCTGAGTCCCCTCCTCCGACACCTCCCCCCTCCCATGCTCACAGCTTTGCTCAGGTTGTCGACCTGGTCTCTGAAGGTCTCCAACTGACTTCCAGGTGTGTGTGGGACCCTTGCTCAGACACTGCAGAGAGGAATGGAGTCACCTGCCACTGGGTTTTACTCCCCCAAGTCTCAGGCACACAGGGGTGCTCTGTGGTCACTTGGGAGGTTCTGCTTCCCCGGGTATAGCTTCTGGAAGCTTCTTCCCTGCATGGCTTTGCTCCCCTTCCTTTCAGCACTGTGCAGCAAGAGCTGTGGAGGGCGCTTGGCCCTGCTCGAAAGCCCTGGATGCTGATAGCTCAGTGGGGCCGTGGCACAGCGAGTAGAGCTGGGACACCCTTCTCCACTTCATCTGACAGGAGGTGCAAAGAAAGTGGCTGATCTCCCCACTCAGCTTCAGCCCTCTGTCCTGTCCTTCTGTCAGGCAGCCTCACATCCTGACCTTCCTTAGCGCCCCTGGGAAGCTGTCTCTTTGACCATGTTCTACATCAGAACGCTGGTCCCCGAGACAGAGAGGGTCCTGCATTTGTGACCAGCCACCCTCCTCCCATTCTTCAGCAGATTCATCACACAGTTGGAAGCTCCTGCGTGGACACGGACCAGGGCAACATCTACCTTCCTGGAGGAGCTTAGTCTTGGGGGAAGGGAGCACAGCGGCACCTTCATAGGACCCAAAAGTGTCACAAAAAGATGCAGAGAACCCAAGGGGAAACACCTCCTTCTGCCTGGTGAGCTGGAGATTTTAAAAATGCAAGGGATAAATGAGTTAGGTCCTGAAGGATGAACAGGAGTTCGCCAGATGAAGGAAAGGACTCCACACAAAGAAGCCAGCTAAGGCTTCAGTTCGGGAACATCGAATACAAATAAATCAGAGTGTGTTATCATGGCCTCATTAACACTGAAAACTGACATCAGCTGCCATGATGAGAAGTGCCCAAGGCCGTTGTGCTGACTTACCGTGAAGAAGTCGCACAGTGTCACGTGAGGGAAGACCTCGTGAGCTCTGTTCTTTGCACACTGGCGCCTACTCTCTCTCCAGAACTCTTGAAGTTTTTCCAGCAGGGACCCCGTGGGACAGAGGAAGAGGGCGTACTCCTGGGGAATGGGGTCATCCAGGGAAGGGTCATGGCAGTGGGCATGCAGCCTGTGACAGAGGACAACGACTTTACCTGGTGCCATGACAGACATCGCAGACTCCACGGAGGACAAGCGGCAGCAGCCTCGCCTCATGGGGTGTGCACTGCATGTGAACCTCACACAGATGCATGGATCCCTGGCCACGCAGCACCTGTTCTCAGGCTCGTCTGCTGCCCAGGCCAGTGACAGAGGGACAGACAGAAGCGAGGCAAGTTGTCTCAGAGCCTGGTCTGCTCCTAAACACGTGATCTCTGTGGTCCCAGCATCTCTGGGGTTTATTTATCCCAAACTTCAAACTAAATGTCAAAATGAAGACCAGACAAAATTTAGATGGCTACTATATTTTCCTTTTGATTCAGAAAGCTATTTCAAATACAAGGAAGTGATGTATCACCCAAATTACGAGTTTATTCTCACTAATAAAAACGACCATGAGACACCATTTCTCTCACTGTCAAGTTGTCCAAGTTTTTTTTTCAAAGGGCAGAAGTTACGCTCAGTTACACAAAGGTGCAGTGAGAGCGAAGGGTGACCTTTAGGTAAAACGATTACCAATGTGTGTCAAGAGCCTTAAAACACCGGCCTCTGAATCAACAGCCAGAAACTGTTCTACAATCTGCTTACGAGGTATTCGTCAGACATTATGGCTTTGAAGAATTTCCAGAGGCTCCAAGAAGTGCTGGTGTTGTGATACTAGGCTTAGAAAGCAGGGCTCGCAGTGGGTTTGGGGTTTTGGAGGAGGACGGTGCTCCCCCAGAACTGAACTCGCAGAGATCCATTGTTGGTCTTTCTGATCTGTTCTTGCTGGGGAGGGCTGCGGCCTCATGGGACCTGGTTTTTGTTTTATTGTGCTTTTTTTTTTAAGTGCTGGAGATGGCGCCCAGGACCTTGTGCATGCTAGGCTGGCCTGTACCACCGAGCTACGACTCCAACCCTGGACCTGGTGTTTAATGCTTGATTTTTCATTGTCACTGATTTCAGTTCTGAGCAGGAGGGATGATGGCATCACAGTCCATCCAGTCTCCAATCCAGAGCAGGAAATGGAGGCCCGAGGTGGTGGCGGCAGTGGGAGGCTTGCAGTAGCACAGCTGGAACATGTGGCACTGCCTGGGGCCCAGGGCTCGCCCCGGCTCCACCACCTGACGCCAACCCCCGAGGTGCACCGTGCAATGCTTTTGGGAAGGCATAGCCACCTTACTTTTAGATCAGCAAAAATGGCTCCTCCCTACATACTCAACAAGTCACAGGAGTTTTTGTTCTGACAGTCAAGTTTGGTTTAAATAGGGTGTGGCTTTTTTGGGTAGTACTGGGGATACAACTTGGGGCTCAACCACTTGAGCCACACCCAATTCTGTTTGTTTTTCAGATAGGGTCTCTGGATTAAACCTTGATCCTCCTGTAGCTACCTCCTAGGAACCTAGTTTACAGGTGTGCACCACCAAGCCCCGCTCTTTTCTGGAGGCTGGGATCAAACCTAGCATGCTAAGCACAGCTCTACAGCTGAGCGGTACACAGAGTCCTGTTTCAGACTTTTAAGGGATGAAGTCTTCACTCCAAGTTCTCCCCTCTTTTCAAGAGAAAGGTGGGCTCTGCTTCACTCCTCCCTGCTGTGTGGGCCTGGATGTTATTTCACTCCCACAGTGGCCTGTCCCACCCAGAAGGTCCCCCTGGAGAATGGAGTCCTCAAAGTACAGTTCTTAGTGACCCAAACCTTCTCCAGCTCTGCAACCCCACACTCACCATTCACAAGCCTCCTCCGCCGTCTTTCTCCCAGTGGCCGCCAGTGCCTTCAGCCTGCAGGAACACAGACACAGGACACTCAGAGCAGCCGTTCACTCAGCAGACCCTCAGGGCCTCTTCCCAGGACCAGACCACTGGGCTTCCCCGCGGCTGACTCCTGTCCCCTATCTCAATCCTCCACATGACTGTCAAGTGGTTTTAACAACCCTGACCTGCTTACATTGCCCCTCTCACTTTCCTTCCATGGCCTCCCACCTCCATTCTTGGGCCATGGGGTCCATGCACTTGGGACCTGACTTCTGTCATTGGCTCCCTGCACCTCCCCCATGTGCCCCAGCAAACCCAAGATGCTTGTGGATGCTGTTGTCTGGGATGGGATGTGACTATGGCTTGGACAGAGCCTCCCTTAATGTCCCTTACTTTCCATCTGCCTCCTGTGCCGGGAAGCACCACCCTGTGGCTGGTCTGCAGCCCTCGCCTTTGTCGCCAGTACAAATGTTCAGCTGGGCTCTTGCACAACCCTGGCACCCAGATATCTTATTCATCATTGGGCCCCAGGATGTAAATCCATCAAGTTGAATTGAGCTGAGCTGGACCAAGGAGAGCAGAACCAAGCAGAACTTGGATATGGTAGTCACTTGGTGGGCAGGCCCCAGACAGCTGACTTCATGAGAGCCTGGTTCAGGGCTGCCAGGGCTGTCGCTGTTTTGGTGAGCAGAGATGGGGATGTGACCCTCTGGTGAGGTCTGAAAGGGAGGATGTGGCTCGGAGCACTACTTCGAGGTGCTCTGGCCTAAGAGAGAAATTTAAGACAGTTTTCTGTCCCCAAAACATGTGTTTATTGTTTAAACTAAAAGCAATTTTGAGTATGGTTCACCAGACGGATGGAGCAGTACAATACAGAGAGTTCGAGGCCCTGACAGCTGCTCAAGCCACAGCCTTGTCACAAGCAGTCCTCATCACACGTGGTGTGTGAGCCCTGGTGGCGAGTGCCTGATGGTCATGGGTGCCTCCTCATGCCCTTGACGTCACCCCCCACTGAGCAGAGCCCTGGTCTGTCTGAACACTATGGCAAAGATGAAGCCCCAAGTTGGGGGAGAAGAGGCTTCAAAGCTGGATTTTGTTTTATTATGGAAGCTTAGCTCCTCCTGACCCCCAGTCACCTGATGCATATTTCTCCCTGTGAATAAGGACCTGAAAAGGACCAGAGCTAAGAAACGTTTTGCCACACAGCTGTAAACATCAGTGTCATTTCTTCCCTCTCTGCCCGTTCTGAGCTGGGAGACTCTGAAAGTTCATTTTCTCTCAAGGACCTTTCTTTGGATGAATAGAGCAGTACAAACACGGGTTCCTGTAATTTCTTTTTCTGTTGTTTAGCCATTTGAAATTATTTGTTATCTATTGAGACAAGATCTTAGTATGTAGTCTGGGCTGACCTTGAACTTGCGTTCCTCCTGTCTTAGCCTCCTGAGTGCTGGGATCACAGGTGTGTACTGCAATACCAGCCCATTTCTATAATTCCTTAACCATTCTGTTTCATGACTGGTCGTTCTGGAGACATTCCCTGCCTTGGGACAAGTGGCTATCCCTGTGCACAGGGAATCACAGTCTGGTTGTTCTCCCAACAAGTCCTAGCATTAGACCTCACGTTAGAGTTTGCAAGATCTTGAAATGTCACCTTCAGAGTCACTGAGCTGAAAAAAGACTTTACAATAAGCCTCAAGCTCCTTCAGCCCCCCCAGAAGTAGAGCAGCCAGAGCAGCTTAGAGCTTCTAAAGTGCACACGTTTTGGGGTCCCCACCAGCCCAGCCAGCAGAGTGGGTCTTTCAAAGGTCAAGGATGTCTTTTGAGACACTATCTTGCATTGTAGGTGACCACTTCATTAGGAAGTCAGTGCCACCAGCCTGTCCAGTTCTGTGTCAATGGCCACAGCCGTTTGACCCAGCCTGGCAAGCCAGGTTTCAGGGCCTCAGTTGGCCACAGTACTCACGCTGTGTGTGCTGGGAAGCCCATGGCCAGGAGGGGGTCCAGGAGCGAGGAGGCGCTGCGGCTCTTCAGCTTGTTGGAGACCTTGGCATAGAGCTGTGTCTCTCCTGCTGCCATCTCTTCCTGCCCGCTGTGCAAGAGGCGTCTGCTCGCTGCTGCAGAGAAGATAGAACGAGAGGGGAGAGGGAGGGCGGCTGAGGCTGTGAAGGAAACCTCAGCCCTTTTTGATCTTCCTGACACCAGCTAATATCCTGTTTGCAGTCCTCTGTGCAGGTGTTGTTGGCAGTGTCTACCAGCCCCACCTATTTCTACAGTGGGTTTTGGACCCCAAAGTCCATCTAAGGCTCCATGGATTTGCATCTGTACTGGAGAAGCATCTGGGAACGTGAGGGGAAGACAGGGAGCAGGAGTCAGGGTGGACTTCTCTGCTGCTGGCCGCCCACCCCGAGCAACCTGGGGATCTGACCCCAGTCTCCACGTCTACAAACGAGGTGTTGAAATACACCATATCTACTGTTGCTCCAAAACTTTTTCATTCTTCTAGTTACTCATTGACTTGGTTTTTGATTTAAGAACTTTAAACGCTTAACGGAAAAGTTTGATCAATGGTCTGTGCACAGCTTGAGGAATTTTTCATAAAATAAGCCCTCACCCCTGCCTTTCCAACATACAGTAATCTGCAAACAGGAAAATTTCACACCCCCTTCCCAGAGGACATTTGTCAGTGTCTGCAGACATTTGTGGTCATCACAACTGAGGGAGGGAAGGTAGAGGCCAGGGATGCTGCAGTGCACAGATGCTCTGCACAGGAGAGTGACCCTGACCAGGAGGTCATTCTAGGACTTTCTCAGATGTAACCGCTTTTACATCTTCTCTTCCCTGCAGAGGGAACTGCTGTACTCACTTGGGCAATAATTTTGAGCCTCATGTAAATAGAACCCTGTAACAAATGCGCCTTCTTGTCTTTTTTTTTTTTTTTCCAGTGCTAAGGATGGAACCCAGGGCCTTGCTCATGTTAGGCAAGTGCTCTACCACTGAGCCACACCCCCCCAGTCCCTGCTCCACCCCCCTGCCCCTGCCCCTCATGTCTACTTTCTTTGTTCCAAATTACATTTTTTTTGGGTACTGGGGCTTGAACAACACCTTCAATCACTCCACCAGCCCTTTTTTGTGAAGGGTTCTTTTTGAGATACAGTCTTGTGAACTATTTGCATGGGCTGGTTTCAAACCTCAATCCTCCTGATCTCTGCCTCCTGGATAGCTAGGATTACAGGTGTGAGCCACCGACACCTGACTCCCAAATTTATCCACACTATTGCTTGTAGTTCACTGTCATTGCTGTATAGTATTCAGTTAGATAAATACAGCATAGTTCATCTATTCATTGTTTTGTTGATATCTATTTGAGAAAATATGACAATGTGTGGGTTCAACCTCTAGTCCTGCAAAAAAACCAAAAAGCCCAAAATAACAGCAGCTATAACGACTTGCCCTCTCGTCAGCAGAGGATGAGATTTCTGTTGTTCTATGTCCTTGTCCACACTTTGGATTATCAGCTCTTCCATGTCAGCCCTTTGGGTGACTCTGTAGTGGTTTTGCATGGTGGCTGTAATTTGCATTTCTGTAAAGGACAAAGTTACTTAGCACCACTCCCTACACGTACTTGCCATCGAATACCCTTTTTGGGGAGGCACCTGTTCAGATCTTCTGCTCACTCATTTTCACTGGGTTGTTTGCCTTTTCCTTTCAATTTGTGGGGACTCTGGTTAGTGTTTTCTGCATCCTGTTCGAGAGACTATCGTGTGCCCACATTGATGACGATGGTTTCCTAAGCTTTGTTCCAGAATCTTTGTTGGTTTTACCAGTCATAGCCAGCTCTATGATGTACTCAAGTTAACTTTATGTATGGCATGAGATAGGGATGAAGTTTCTTTTTGTTTCCCATTGGGAGATCATTTTCCCATGCTTCCAGTAAACTGCAGTAAGTAGATGTGCTAGTCTGTAGTCTGTTTCTGTTATGTCCTCTTATTTGATTTGTGCTCATAATATCTGGCTTTAGTTGCTATAGTGTTACTCTCTGATTTTGTTATCTTCGAGATTGTCTTGATTTTTTCTTGTTTTTTTCATTTAAATTTAAAAATCAGGTTGCCATTGTGTGCCCTCGGAGGGTACAAAAAGACCCACGTATGTAGTCAGTTGATCGTCAACCAGGGGACACTGTAATTCAGTGGAGGGAGGGATGAAACTGCCTGTCAGTGTGAGATGCAAAAAAAATTAACGCAGCTGGGTGCTGTGGCTCATGCCTGTCAACCTAGCTACTCAGGAGGTAGAGATCAGGAGAATCATGCTTTGAAGCCAGCCCAGAAAAATAGTTCACAAGACCCTACCTTGAAAAGCACTTCACAAAAAAGTGCTGGTGGAGTGGCTCAAGGTATAGGCCCTGAGTTCAAACCCCAGTACTGCAAAAAAAAGAATTAACTCAAAGTCTATGATGGACTGAAATTAACATCTAACACTGGAAAGCTTCTAAGAGAAAACCTGAGAAGAAAATATTTGTTGTGTTGGAGTTTACAAAATTTTCATGGGACATAAAAAGCATGACTTGTAAAAGAAAAAGGTTGGTAAATTACACTTCATCAAAGTTGTAAAATTCTGCTCTTTGAAAGACACTATTGAGTAAATAAAAAAGGTAAGCCACAGGCTGGGAAGAAAATATTACTATACATATACTTGCTATGGGATTTGTATTCAGAGTACTATATTGTGGGGAGTGGGTTATGAGAAGCCCATGAGAACTTGGCATAAGCACAGTTGTGCTCAATGATCTGCAGGCTGAGTTGGCACAGCCCCAGAGGAGGGGGGAGGGCAAAATGCAGCACAGCTGCAAGTACTGATCACAGGTTTCTCTTGTTACAGTGTCAGGCCCCTCCCCAAGAACTGTTGCTCCACCTCCTTGTTTGCCACTGGATATAAAAGACTCCCTGGAGGTGGCTGGGTGGGCTGGCTGCTTGCAAGGTGTGGCTGCCACTGATGACGCTGCTGGCAGCTGCTGTTGTGTGTCTGTGAGTCTAAGGACTGAGACCTTAGCAGTTATGCTAGAGATTAGAGGAAACATGGGACAGTGAAAGTCTAGGGACTGCAGATTTAAAGAATAGAAAAGAAGAAAGGCTTTAAAGAATAGAAAAGAGTAATGTTTTAAAGAATAGAGAAAAGAAGTAAGGTTGTAAAGAATAGAGAAAAGAAGTAAGGTTGTAAAGAGTAGAGAAAAGAAGCAACGTAAAAGAAGAAAAGAGAAGTTTAAAAGAAGCAATGAGGCTGTTGTGTGTCTCCATCCAAGTGCCCAGCACACCTGACCCCAGCTTCGTGCATGTCTGTCTTCTATCTTTTGTCCTTTCTGCATCTCCAGTCACCCCCAGTTAGGTTCATAGGACAGGAGCTTGCATGGGTCATGAGGTTATATATGAACATATAAAAATATATTCTAATAGTTAATACATAAACAAATACATCAGTTAGAAGTGGGCAAAATATTTCAAAGACATTGACAAAATACAAGATACAGGCATGGGAGTAGGGGTGTAGCTCAGTGCCTAGCATGCACAGGGCCCTGGATTTGATCCCAGTACTGAAAAACAAAGCACAAAGGATTGGTGTGAACAGATGTTTAGCACCATTAGACATCAGAAATATGTAAACGGAAACCACAATGAATTTCATAGCATGCGGGCTAAACTAAGAGCTGTAACAGAAAAGACTGACAATACCAAGTGTGCGTGTGTTTTTTTGCAGTGCTGGGGATCAAACCCAGAGCCTTGCACATGCTAGGCAAGTGCTTTACCACTGAGCCACATCACCAGGCTTCCTACCAAGTCTGACAAGGCAGTGGGATGATTGAAACTCTTACATTGTTGGTAGGAATGAGAATTGTCCAACACATTTGGGAAATGTTTTGACAGTCTCTCATAAAGTTTAGCATACATTTGCTATTTAACTCTTTCTTGTTTAGCTTTTTACCAGGGAGAAATAAGAATGTATGTCTATACAAAGACCTGTCTGTCTAGGAGGGTCCATGGTGGTTTTATTCATAATAGTCCCAAAATAGAAACAATCCAGTAGTCCCAAACAAATCCAACTGGTGATGAATGCACAAATTTTAGTGCACCAGTCAATGGAATCACACCTAATCAATAGAAAAGAGCAGAGTGAACAGAGAGGAAGATTGTGCCAAGTGAAAGAAGCCACAAAATCAAACACACTATATGAATTTAAGTGGAATTTTAGAAAAGATAAAATTATTCTCTCATGACAGAGAGCAGATCAGAGGCTGTCTATAGTAGGCTGGGAGTGAGCTTGTGGGGTGATGGACCTGCTCTCCATCCTGATCAAGTGGTATCTACATGGGTATGTATGTTTTTGAAAGACTACTCAACTAAATATTTAGAATGGGCACATTTTATAGTGTGTTTAAAATTGATTTTTTAAAAAAAGGAAATGAAGCCCACATTCTTGTGACTCTCACCTGAAATCCTAGCTACTCAGGAGGCAGAGATCAGGAGGATCATGGTTTGAAGCCAGCCTGGGGATACAGTTCTCCAGAACACGACACAAAACAAGGGTTGGTGGAGTGGCTCAAGAGGGAGAGCACCTGCCTAACTAGTGTGAAGTCCTGAGTTCAAACCCCAGTGCCATCAAAAAAAAAAAAAGAAAGAAAATGTAAATGAAAGGAATGCTAAGGACAAAAAAAACCAGTATGTTAATTTCTGACAAAAGAATGCCTGCTGGAATTAGTTTGGGATTTTGTTGAATCTGTAGATCAGGTTGGATAGAACTGACATTTTAATTAAATCTTCCATTCTATGAATATGGTATATCTGCCTAATTTCTCTTAGTAGTATCTTGTAGCTTTTAAGGTGTTTTGTTTCATTTATTTTTGTTTTGTTGTGGAGACAGTGTCTCTCTGTAGCTCAGGCTGGTCTTGGATAACCTCCTGGGTGCTGGGCTTACAGGTGTGCACCACCATACTCTGTACAATACTACCAGTTCTTTTTCTTTTTCTTTCTGTAGTGCAGGGGGTTGAACCCAGGATCTTGTGTGTGCTAAGCAAGTGCTCTGCCACTAAGCTACTTCCCCAGTGGCCTTCAGTTTCTTCACTTATGTTTTTGATGCTACTGTAAATAGTGTTTTTAAACAACTTTCATTTTCAATGATCTTGCTAAGTTTCCTTACTAATTCCAAACTTTCAGAGATCTTTTGGATTTTCTATGTGCACAGCCATCTGATCTCCAAGGATGGCAGCTTTCCTCTTCCTTCCTAACCTTACAAACTTTAGATCTGCTTCCTATATTATTCCAGTGAGGCCAAAAGTAGATTTTTTTTGGTGTTAAACCAACCTGTTTCCCTGAGGTTAACACTCTTGGTCACAGTATGTCATCTCTATATATACACACAATTGTGTGTGTTTGACTGCTGTATACATTTTATGTGTTGCAGGATTCAATTTGTTAATACAGTGTTTAGAATTTTTGCATTAATATTGTGGTTTAACCTGGCCTGCTATTTTTTTTGTAATGTGAGGTTTTGGTATCAGTCCATGACCATCTCCTGATTTTCTTGGGCCTTTGTAGGTTTTAGCACTGAAGTCCCTCCCCCAGCAAATCAGGATTCTTTGTCACCCTGGATATCAGTGTTTCGAGCTGAGAAGTATTTCCTCTTCGTTTTCTGAGATTTTGCAAGCTCTGTGTAATTTCTTTCTTAAATGTTTGAAAAGATTTACCAGTGAAGACACTGGGGCCTAAAATTTTCTTTTCTGAGAAGTCTTTATCATGGAGCTACACCCAGCCTGATGTTTTGATAAACATGGCGAAATGGGTAGTCTAGTCAAGCAGATAAACATCTCAAATAGTTGTCTTCTCTTTTTGTGTGTAGCAACACACACAAAAATCTTTCAATGACAAAGTTGTTGCTTTCAACAACTCACAGTGTCCAGTACACTATTCTAACTAGAGCTTTCATGCTGCACCGTGATCCCCAGATTTCTTCATCGATGTGCTTGCAGCTCTGAGCCCCTTGACCTCACATTTCCTCCCACCCTTCCTGCCCTCCCCAATAACCCCTGTCTTGCTCTCTGTGCTCTTTTCTTATAGGCCCTGCAGTATTGTTTCCTCTGCCTGGCTTGTTTCACTTAGTACAATGTCCCTCAGGCTCATTCCTTGAGGAATTCAAGAGGAATTTCATGATCAAATGATTCATGTTGAATTTGAAAGTCTAGAAATGCACAGAGCTTGCTCTCAGAGGAGAAAAAAGTTAAATGTGGGGTCTGATATATAGCCTCTATTGAAGTTTATTTTTCTCTTCCAAATAAACCAGGAAATGCTCTCCCTAGCTTAGTACTTGTCCCATAACTTGAAAAGTTACCTTCTAAGTCCTTCCTGATGGACAGGTTCTCCTCAGACTTACTGAAGAGAACTCAATTGTGTCTTGACCAGTATGCAAGCAGTACCCAGGTTTGGCATGGAACACCTGTTCTCATCCCTCTAAACCAAGACCACTCTGGACTCTGTTTCATGAGTGTGTCATACCAGGCCCAGGTATGCTTATTTCTCTGAGTCCTTAAGATACTATTTTGAGCTTAGTGGAACTGGTTTTGTAGGTCAATTTTCTGCAAGGAAGTCCAGTCACTGGAAAACTGGTTTGACCTTTGACCTCCATCTGAACTGCTCTTAATAAGACCTTAGGGTGGCTTTTGATTATGTCTGCGTCTGTTCAGCATTGTTTGTCACTTTGGTTTATGATTTGGATATGATTGTTGATATGTATGGGTCTCCATCACACAGCCATCTTGGTTGGGATGGGATATGAGTGAGAGAATGTTCTGGATTGTCTTCTAAGAGCAAAGCAATAAAGCAGTAAGTACTGAATTTCTTGTCTCTGAGGGGACTGGAGAATGACTAGAGGGGGGTAAGGCGGGACAATGCACCCGGAGGATTTCCTATGGATCCAAGACATTGATGGACAGGTGGGTGGACACCTCGGGGCCGGAAAGCAGATTGAGTTAAACTGTGATTGCCTGAATATGTCTCTTTGGCTTTCGCCATTGGCAAACCCGGCCAGCTCTACCTCTCAAATCCGTCCCAGCCCAACCTGCATGACGGACACCAGGTCCAAGACATGACCGAGGCAGTCCACGCTCCACAGCAGCCTCCTGGCACATCAGGTGTGCCACCCCCAGCTCTGTGTGCCACGTGTCCATCTGATTGTGCTCACTCAGTCCTCTGTGGCATCTGTCACATGGCAAAGCAAATTGAAATCTTATCCCATGGCCTGGCCTCCAGGACCTGGGCAGTGGCCTTGCCAGTTTCACTTCCCAATGTGCCCTTCTCCCCTCTCTCCAGGATTGGGACCTTCTCCAGGTGCCTCAACCACTCCGCACAATTCTCCCCTGGCACTTTAAGTTGATGGTGGGCCCTAGGAACAACTCACCATTATTTCATGTCATCCTTTCACTGAGGTCTCTCCTTCCTGGAAGCCGTCCTTCATCACCTGCCCCTATTTCTCCCTCACCTTCATCTGCTAATCTCATCTAATGCTTCCCATGATCCCAGGCTGCACGTGAGAGCTCAGCCAGTCCCCTGCCTGCCATCTGCTCTGGCTCTAGTCTCCAGGCTCAGAGCAGGCTCGCAAGTCTATGGTAGGTAAATGCAGAAATGTGACTTCCTGTCCAGCCCTGCACCCCCCTGTCACCTGGCCTTCCAAAGATGTCCTACTTCCTTCCCAGCAGCAGGTACCTGTCATCACCTGGAGGGGCAGCTTCACTCCATGCTGTGAGCAGAACCCTGGGGGACACAGAGGCCTCTGCAGAATGGAGCACTTCATATTTGTGCAGAGCTAGCTGCATGATCCGTGCCGACTCCAGCTTCCGTGTGCAGGGGAGCCGCGGGACTAAACCCAGGACTCAGTCATCTGGAGGGGTAGAACTCCCCAGCAAAGCGTCCCCTTGTCCCATGGCTGCCTACTAAACAAAAGGGGTGCCTCTCTCCTGAAGCTCCGCCAGGCTCACGTTCCTCTTACCCGCTGTTCCCTCCATCTCTGTATCTATACCACCAGGGCCACTTGATAGCCACGTCCAGATTGGGTTACGCAGGCACGGGGACAATGCCATTGGTGTGATGACTGAAGTGACAAGGCCGAGTGACTTGGTGAAAATATTTCCCGACTGGACTCACCCTTTGGCGGCTGCTCACCATCACACTTGTTTTTATGATGAAAAAGGAAATCATTCCTGCTTTGAATGATGGCAGCTCCAGAAATGGTGAGTGAGGCAGCATGGATGGCGTGGGTGCCACCTGCCAACCCTGGCCTGTGGGGGTGGGGACTTTCTCCCCCGGGGTCCGTCTTTCAGAAAATGTTTTCCTTGAGTTCTTATTCTTTCTATAAACTACATAATTCGCCACCTGTTGACTTTAAGTAGAAGTATTAGCAAGAATTAAAGCTAAAAAATGACTGAAGGTCATTTTTAATGACTTTCTAATGAAATCAATATTTTTAGCTCATAACCTTCGCTTATGTTTTATGAACAGCTTGTGAAACAAAGTCTGTTCTAAATAGCTTATATTCCATTTGGAATACTGAGCTTTACAATCGGTAGCCAGGAAGGAATTAAAGATATACCTAAGCATCTGTGTCTGTAAGCTGTGGGGCCTCCACAGGTTTCAGCCTCAGAGGAAGTAGGTTCCTGGAGATCCCAGGATTCACTCTTGGGAGGGCGACCTGGAACTTGCCTGCCAGCACCCTGCAGGTCCCTCAGCCCCTCTCAGGGTCACAGGGAATAACTGTGACAGGTCACTGCCTCCCCCAAGTTGTGATAGGTGGCTTTTGTCACAGGAGGCAGAGCTCCGGAGTGGCTTTGGTGCCAGGCTGCAGCTCCCAGTCACTCCTCACCTGGCTGAGTTCAGGGAGGCCTGGGCCCTGGGTGCCTTGGATACTTTCATCCTTAATTAGGTCATGCCTGTGTGAGCCAGGAAAGGGCAGTGTTTATGGGAAGCTACTAACACTGAGGCCCAGTGCCCCTTTCCTGGTGCCTTCTCCATTTTGGGATACGGACGTTAAGTAAGTATTCAAACTTCTTACGTTTTTGGTCAGTGCGTCCCATGGCTGGACAAAGAATCCAGCATATGTGAGACAGATGAAAACAATCTTGGAAAGAGCTTTGAAAGTAGTTTGTCTTCTGAAGTGTGGTGATATCGTGACTTCCTTGTAGAGAGCTTATCTGTGCTGTTTGATTGATTTTAAGAGGTCAGTTGAACAAACAATGGAAAAGTTATTGTTTGAGTGGAATTAAGTTTATGCTCATTTACCAACTCTAGAGGTTTCTCTGTTATCTACAGTTCAGAAAACATTGTGTTCTTCCTAGACAGGTGTTTGTGATTAATTGGTACTGAATGGGCTTTATGTTGGGTGTCAAGGATTTAAAACATGACAGAGATGCACCTGTGCTGAGACTGTCCCTAGACAATGTTTTCTGTTCTTCCCTGGCCGTGGAGGTGGAGGTGGAGGTGGAGGTGGAGCCCAGTCTCAGAGGTCCTGAAATAGTCACCATGGGGGAGAACGACCCGCCGGCAGCTGAAGCCCCTTTCTCCTTCCGATCACTTTTTGGCCTTGATGATTTGAAAATAAGTCCTGTTGCACCAGGTAAGTGGGACCCTGTGAAGTCTGTCCTCCATGGTGATGACGAATGTGGCTGAGTGTCTGTGTGTGTGTATTGGCAGTAGTTGGCGGGGGGGAGATATCTGCCTAGAAGTTGTCACACTGCAGGCTGGACACCTGTCTTTCCTTCGCCTTGCAGAACCCCAGAGAGGAAGGCGTTCACCTGCTTGCTAGCTCCTTGGAGACAGGTGTTTTATTCTCTGGTGGGAGGTTTCCAGAGATCGGGGCTCCACAACGACCTTGGTTAATCTTGGAGGAGGTCCAATCCTGGCCAGGAATCTCTGAGCCCTCCAGGAAGTTCTGAGAATCAGTGGCCATCAGCCCTTCCAGAAAACTTAAAATTAGCTGTATGCCACCAAAGGTATTTAGTGCCTAGATTAAAATCCAACAGCAGATAACACAACTGCCCCCAGCAACCAAAGGAAGGAAAGCTGGTTTGTTTCATATAAGCAGTGGACTCCCTAATACCTACACAGCTAGGGACTTTGTGTCAGGAGCCTGTGAGAACTTGTCACAGCAAGCTGTGGCTTGTTGGTCCCACAAGTGGGGACTTGGATATGGCAGGAATACTGACCCCAGGAGCTGGGAAGGGACAGTGTGCCAGCTCTGTCTGAGGCTTCACAAGTCTGGAGCAGGGCTTCCCTAATGACTCCTTTTAAGCTAGCTGATTACTGAGGAGGAGGCATGAAGGATGGAGGACAGGGGTGAGAGGACCAAGTTCATGGAAGTGAAAAGATACACAATTTAAAAATGTGACTCACAATTAGCATAAATGTAAATGAAAGAAGAGACACCATGCAGCCAACTGACCCTCAAAATTTACCTTAAGTTCCATCCCTGCTCTTCCTGTCCTTGCTTGTATGTGTGGATTCACACACAGGCCAACATAGACAGGTGTTTTCCCATATTATTTGGCTTTTATAAACATCATTTTTAATGTCATTGTAATATTCCAGTAGGTAGACTGTGATGTACACAAGGAATCAATCGTTATCTGTTACTAGTGGTATAACACTCCATTCTCCTGCTTTTTGATCATTACTTATGGTTAAGTTCTACTTGGGGGAAGGAACAAACATATTCATTATAGAAATTTCTAAAATAGTTAACAAAAATATTTTAAAAAATTACCCATGTTATACCATCACTTGGAGACAACCCTGTTAGCCCTTTATTGTTGGGTGTCCTGCTTTTTTCTATCTATCTATCTATCTATCTATCTATCTCTCTATCTCTCTATCTATCTATCTATCTATCCATCTATCTCTCTATCTATCCATCTATCTCCTATCTCCTTTAGGAAGTTGCATGTACTATTAGTAGTATTCTTAAGCTTTTTTGAATCCTAACAATATCAAGCTCACTGTCCCATGGCTTTAAATAATTAAATATTTTCAGGCATTGCCTCACTATGGATGAAATCTGTGCCGCTGTTGGTTTTTATAAATAAAGTTTTATTGGAACACATACCTTCCCATTTGCTCACAATTCTGTTGCAGGCTGCTCTTGTGTGTGATAGCAGAGGTGATTGGTTGGGAGAGGCCAGATGCCCATGAGGTTTTTGTTCTTCACAGAGGATCAAAGTTTGCCGGTCCCTTTTCTATAGCACAATAAGTATCTGTTTAAGAATTCCACTGTGAGCGTCCAGTAGTAACCGCTCGGTGCGCCATCTTCCTGTCTGCTGGTCATTTAGACCGTGCATTTCCCACACTTCAGTATTAGGAATACAACTCTTCTCAGTGTCCTCCCAGGTACACCTCTGAGTGCATCTATGATGACATTTTAGGATAAATTCCTAGAAGTAGAATTACTAGAACAAACATTTCATCCATTTTTAAGCTTTCTATTGCATATTACAATTCTGTACAAGTGAACAGTTAGCACGATTTACGCCCTTCCTGACTGCAAGTGGGAATGGTGGGCACACAGTACATCAAAGCCATTCTGAAGTTGATTTGTAGTTATGTCTAGTTTGCATTTTCACTTCTGGAGATGCTGAAATTTTTTCCTGCTTGCTTCCCATCTGCATTCCCGATTTGGAATTCCAGGCATGTCCTCACCCACACTGGGCGGTGGGTGGGGGGGGAATGGATGGGACACTGTAGCTCCACAGGGCCATATGGGTCTGAGTTTTTACCCTACTTGCAAGCTAACAGGCTAGCTGACCACCCTCCATGCAGAGGACACAAGTTTCCTGGATCAGAGGCAAAGGTTTATGATTACCAGCCCAGCAGGCAGCCTGAGCATCCTGTCTGAGCAGTGTCCCTGCCTCATTTCAGAACCCCACAGAGGCCTGGGAGGCTGGTGGGTGCTGCCATCAGGTTTCATCACAGTTGAGAATCAAGTGAAGGAATCCTGGTCTTCATAATGGGCTTCCAGCAGACATGGTGGACTTTGCTGTGGAGAAAGACATTAGATTTGCTGGACAGAAACAAGCCTGCCCTTGCCCTGGAGGGAGATGCTGTCCATATCTTCCAAGGCCTTCTGCCTCCATCCTTGGCGAGATGCCCTGAAAAAAGGCTGTTCGAGTCTCTGTGGGGAAGGGTGGGTCAGTGTCCTGTCTTTGGAACTTCTAGGAGATCCCAGTGCCCTCTCTGCCTGCAAGGACCCTCTCTAAGACTTACGAGACACTCTCCTCTGCAGAGGCACAACCTTGGGACCTGGGGCCACACTTATCTCCGTTGGTGACCTCGGACTGCTGAAGCAGAGTGCCCAAACAAGGTGGCCTGAGAAGGCAGTAGTTTATTGTCTCAGTTTTGAGACAAAAGTCCGGGATCCCGGGTGCCACAGGGCTCTCCCCCCTCTGAAACACCCAGAGGACCCTCCCAGCCCTGCCTGGACCCTGCCTTTTGCTGACAGTCATTGGGGTTCCTCGGCTTATGGATGGATGTATCCCTCTGATCTCTGCTTTCATCTTCATGGCCATCTGCCTCAGGTCTCTTCCTGTCACCTTCCAGATATGCCTGTCTGCCTCTGTGTCCAAATTTCCCCTGTGATAAGGACACCAGGCACATTGATTAGGGCCCATCCTAACGACCTCACCTCACTTTGACTGCTCTGTGAAGACCCTCCAGATAAGGTGCCCTTCTGTGATACTGGGGGGTAGGGCTTCAGCGATTCCTTTTGGGAACACTATTCAACCTGTAGTCCTGTGCTCTGATGCAGAGCTGGGCCAGAGTTGAGAGACTGGGACTGAACTTTCAGAGAACATACCCTTTCTCTAATGAAGACAGCTCTCTTTGGACTGGAGTGTTCTCTGTAGAGAAGAGATGGAGAGCGAGGAGCCACATCACTTGAAATCCCTCCCCCTCTTGGTTTGCAGATGCAGACGCAGTGGCCGCCCAGATCTTGTCCCTGCTGCCCTTGAAGTTTTTTCCAATCATCATCATTGGGATCATTGCACTGATACTGGCGGTGGCCATCGGGCTGGGCGGTGAGTATAGTCCATTATTCAGTAGGCTCTCGAATACCTACTCAAGTGCTGAAACTTGCATGAGTTCCCCCTTGCATCGGCCTTTGTTGCCTCTCTGCCTTAATTACTGGCCACTGATGTCCACCTTGGTTTGTCCACTTTGGGTTTTATCTGCCTGCATGGATGTGAAGCCAGTGTGACACCCAGCAGGGGCTGTTGGCCATGCTCAGGGCTTTGTCACCAGGGTAATTGCCCAGGTAGAAGTGCCCAAAGGCAGCTGAGGAAACAGGATCCCGTGGTGGGAGGGGAGGGGAGTACTGACTTTGGTGGAGGAGACAAAGACTTCCATTCATGCCTTGTCAGGCACCCCAGCTATTTTTCTGGTGGAACGTGTTTGGTTTTTGAGAAAGTGGGTCATTTGGAGGAAGGGGCTCTAATAGGGAACAGTTTCTCATTTTCACTTTGAAATAACTGGATCACAGGTCAGTTTAATTTGCCACCTGCTCAGCAGTGTGACCCACAGTTCATTTGTTTCCAGCTCAGGGGTGAGAGGAAGCAGGGTGTGGTCAAGCAGTTCTCAGTTGGGGCTCCTTGCTCAGCTGGCTCAGTTGGTCAACCCACAGCTATGCTGTTTCTTTCTTGACCTTGAGTCCTAAAAAGTCTAAGTTCACCACAGAGGGAGTCATAGTGGGGTGCAGCCCCAGCCCCTGGAATTTAGCACAGAAACTGGGCTGAAGGGAGCAGGCTGCTGACAGTGATTCAGTTTCAATATAGGTTTCATTATTAATGGGTAAGCTCAATGTCACTCGGCAGGTGGACAGTTGCTAGTGCTGAGCACTGAAAGAGCTGCTTGCTGACATGTCTGGCTTCCTCCCTTCTCTCAGTCCACTTCGACTGCTCTGGGAAGTACAGGTGTCATTCGTCTTTTAAGTGCATTGAACTGACAGCTCGATGTGACGGGGTCTTGGACTGCAAGAACGGAGAGGATGAGTACCGATGTGGTGAGGTCATGCATGTTCCCTGGAGAAGTGACTGAAAGTCCCCAGAACCCAGTGCTGACCCTGCCCATCTGTGAAATGGGTCCAAGGTCTTGTCAATGTCACGTCATGTCCTCAGTTGGGATTCTATTGGCCGTTGGCCTTGGAGACATTGGGCAGGAATATTCCATGGAGCTCAAATTCAGTTGAGGGGACACCTGGGCTACAGAGTAGACCTCCATGAGGTCTCTGGGTGCAGACAGTGAGAACTGCCACTGCTCTGCCATGGAGGGGAGCAGGTCGGATTCAGAAGAGGAGGGTATGAGCTGGCCACGGGGCAGTCTCTGCCCTGGCCGCTCACGCCCTCCTCCCTGTGCGTGTCCAGTCCGGGTGAGTGGCCGGAGTGCAGCGCTCCAGGTGTTCACAGCTGCCTCTTGGAGGACTATGTGCTCTGATGACTGGAAAGACCACTATGCGAATGTCGCCTGTGCCCAGCTGGGGTTTCCCAGGTGAGTCCAGGAGCCTTTCTGACCATGGCAGAACAGCAGTGACAGCAAGGAGAGATGGTGGCCGGGCAGTTAAGCACTTTCTGGGCACGTTAACACTTTGCTGAATTCCATCCTCATGGTTTCTCACAATGCCTGGTCTCATCTTTCTTCACAGGGAAGCAAACCAAGGCCAGACAGGCTGAGTGGCTTGCTCAAAGTCACCCGACGGCATGTTTGGGGGCTTATGGGGGGGCTGGCCCAGTACTGTAGATACAACCGAGCAATTAAGAGCTTCAGAGTTGCAAAACAAGTCCTGAAGGTATGCGCCACCACACCCACTCCTCCCAGGAACGTCCACATCTGTGCACAAGAACCCCAAAGAGCCGACTGTTTAAAGCCAGCAATTTAGTGAAAACAATTATTCAAAGCCATTTAGCAGAACTGGAGATCAAGAGGGCAGAACAGGTTCTGCTTGGAAGCAAGGGGTGGGGAGGGGGGCGAGGGGCAGTGGGGAGAGGTGGCCCAAACATATGAATAAATATAAAACAAAACAAAACAAAAAACCCTAAACCCTGTTTAGGGGGCCAGGCACGGTGGCTCACAGCTAGAATCCCAGCCACTTGAGAGGTAGAGATTGCAAGTGTGAGGTTCTAAGTTCAAACCCCAGTACCATTATTAAAAAAAAAAAAAAGAAAAGAAAAGGGAAAAAAACAACCCAACAAAAAACAACTGAAAAACCAAAAAGCTGTTTAGCAACGCAGAGAAGAAAGAGTTTTGCATTGGGGTTTTTGTTTTCAGTGTTTGGCATGATGTTTTCCATGTTGTGGACCCCACCCCCTCGCCCCCTCGCCCCCTCGCCCCCTCGCCCGCCCCCCACAGCTCCTGGGCACCAGGTTCCTCTTTGCTCTTGACCTTCAGGCAGGTCAACAGGCAGGCTCCTGAGTTCCTATGCTCACCCTAGGAACCAACAAAGTCCATAATGGTGACCTTGGAAGTGCAGCCCTGTGTGCATCCCAGGAAACAGGGCCATCAAAGCCACATGGCTGTGAATCCTCTGTGGGGTCCCGGTTTGATTTCCACATTCCATGTGTCTTTCTCCAAAGACGGTGACACTGGAAATGTCCTTCAGCCAGTGTCCCTGAAGCCTGTCTCCTCTCATCATGCCAATTTAGACTCTGCAATCCAAGTTCAGTGACAACCATAAAATTCACTCATAGAAATGCCTTTGAGAATTACGTAGGCTTTACTCCTCAGAGGTGGAGGGGAGTGGGACACACACACACCACTGCCAACAGCTCACAGCTTCCCCATCAGGCACTGCTGTTCCCTGCTGGCCTCTTCCTTCCTTTCCCCTCTTCCTCCTGGACTATCATCCTCTGTCCCCAATCCCAGGCCTTTGCTCTATTGTCCAGAAACCTCCACCCAACCCCTTGTCCTGCCCCCAGCAGACACAGGACCCCAGCCCCAGAACTTGGCACACTGGGGCCACCTTTCAGAGCCGGCAGCCCCAGTTCTCACTCTAGCCTGTTGGTAACATGTTCCTTCCGTGTTCAGAGTGCAACCCGAGGGGAAGTCTGGGGAACACAGCTTCTCCTGCCACCCCACTGAGTGCTTTCTACACGGTAAATGTGTTCTTGCCCTCCCCATTCTTTGCTTCTGTTTCTTAGATTTACCTCTGCCTTCCCACTTCTCTCATTAAAAACCCTTCTCAAATCCTCTGTCCTCGACCACACCCTACGTCAAATATCTGTGATCTAAAAAACAAAACAAAACAAAACAAAACCAGACCAGACATCAACCAGATTGCTGGGGCAAGCCACATGACTTGTGCCTCAGTTTCCTCCCTTAGGCGGATGCTATTGGTAGCTGTTTTGAAGGGCCCTGTGGTGCAGTGGTGTTGAGGGCGTGGGAGCGAGTCCCTCACCACGGCACATGCTGTAAGAGTTTGTGGCTGGGGTGGGTGCTCCTGCTATCTCAAGGTAATCTACAGTCTCCAGTTGTGACACTCTGAGTCCTTCTGCTTTCACAAGCAGCAGCCTGTCACGTTGTCCAACTGACCTGCTCTTTTTTTTTTTTTTTGCAGTACTGGGGTTTAAACTCAGGGCCTACAGCCCTGAGACACTCCACCAGCCCTTTTTTGTGAAGAATTTTTTTGAGACAGGGTCTTGTGACCTATTTGTCCAGGCTGGCTTTGAACTCAGATCCTTCTGATCTCTGCCTCCTGAATAGCTAGGATTACAGGTGTGAGTCACTGGCACCTGGCCCAACAGCCAGCTCTTTTGCAGCAGGGTCTTCTCCGTTTGTGGGCTGAGTCATCCCTGGGAGGACTTGGAAGGTCATGGCCATGGCCTTCACATTTCTCTCAAACTCAAGCTTGAGTGAACTTTGTGCTCCACCTGCATGTCTACCCATGGCGCGCACAGCACTCCGATGGTATCCTGGCTGTGTTAGGGAGCAGCTGGCCACTCTCACAGCACTTTGTTCCTTCCACGAGGAAGGGGAGGTGGCTGTTTACGCCCCCCCCCACTTCCTCTGGGACTTGGACTTCTGGAACCCAGGGCCTCACCTTGACAATGAATAGAATCCTAGAATGAAGAATGCTAGACAAGTGCTCTTCCACTGAGCCACACCACTGTCTTCTGAAGCCTCATCTCCTTTGCCACTGCTGTCCAGAAAACCCAGTTTCCTGACACCTAACATGTTTGCTTGGTCCCAGAGCCCGTGAAACTCTGTCTTCCACATATTAATTTCTCTCAGGGAAACCCAAGACAAGACTGGGAGGAATGAGGAAGGTCCTTGTCCTCCCCAAACCTTTGTCCCTGGGTGCTTGGCATTCTCTCTTTGGTGACCAGCTGATCATGACACACCTAGTTCTGCACGTGGCTCCCTCCCTCTGGGGCTTTCTTCAAGTCAAGCAAAGTCCTTTCCAAATGAATGCACCAGGGTAGGAACCATTGAAGGCATCAAGACGGGGTCCTTCCTCCCTGTGGCTGCAGCCTGGTAGGCCGGCAGTGCCCTGGGGCCAGGGTCAGTAGGTGGGACGTGGAACTTGTGTAGAATGCTTTGCTAAGATGTGTGCACATCACTCCATCCATAAAAGGAAGTCTTTGATGGTTTGGGGTGGACCACATGACATCCCCCAAGTGTGATGTTGTAACTTGGCAACTCGGGCATGGGTTGACTGGATGCTTCAGTGCCCCCCTGGGGCCTGAATTTCTGATGTGTTTGCAGCTACGTGAGTTCAGGCAACCTCAGGGTGGACTCACTTGAGGCGCAGTTCCAGGCCTACTTTGTGTCCATCAACCATCTCTTACCCGATGACAAGGTGACGACACTGCACCACTCCGTGTATGTGAGGTAAGAGGCTGGACGCTGCTGCTGTCCACACTATGCTGAGTCACTGTCTGGATTTGTGAAGCTGTGCTCTCTCCATGAGGACCAAGAGGTGAGAGAATGTCACCTCAGTGGCACGGGTGGAGCTTGGTGCTGTGGTTACAGGGGCGGGTGCACAAGAGCGGGTGCAGGAGCCAAACCCAATCCAGGGGAGCAGGGCCCAGCTGAGCTCATGAAGTAAATGTGGTAACGGAGCAATAGAGATGTGCGTGCATCAAACGTGGGCTGAGCCAGCCTCTGCACAGGGACTTCCGGCGTGTTTGGGTAGTGGAACCCAGTGAGGAAGGAAACTAAAACACAACTCATCCTTGATTACAGAGAACCTTATCATTGATCATCTACCCTCTGTGTTTTCCCCAACTGCCTATGGGGAAGGAAAATCAGGTGTCTTTAGTGTCAATCAGGTACTTGAAGCTGAGAGAGGTCACCTGCCTTGGCCCAGGTTGGATGATGAGGGGCAGACACAGTGGGTGTCTTGAGTCCACGTTCTTTTCCTTATGCCCAGGAGTCATGCATCCTCTGCTCTGGAAATGGCACGTGTTGGCCTGTCCGTGGTGGCTTGCACAGGTGCCCTGGGGCCCGATGCAATCTCCAGGGTTCTAACTCCAGCCTGGTGAACCGTGGCTGCTCCTGCATGACAAGGCTGGGCTAAGCTGGTAGAACAAGTTAGTGAGACTTTGGGATTCCCTGTCCTGGAATTATGAGGAATGCACAGGCCCTGGTCCAGCAGTGCAGCGGGTAGGAGGGGACACATGTCATTCTGAGGCGCTTGTGTCTTGCTGCTCTGGGAGGAGTCCTGTCTGAAGTGTGTGACCCCAGGCTATCAGGGAGACCCAGACATGCTGTCCCCACGGCGCTTGCAACCCCAGGGTCAGGATGTGAAGGACATGACGGGGGATACGCAGGTTACACACGTCCAGGGCGTCCTCACTCAGTAGCAGTGTAAGCGTAGAAACGCCGAGCAGCCTGTCACATACAACACCACACTATTGGTCCAGTGCTTTGCAATGGATTGTGTCACCTCACTGTCATGGCTTTTTTTTTTTAATTGACTAAAATCATAATTTTTATTTGGATGAGGGTAACACAGATTATTTTCCTTATACATCAATGTAAAGTAAAAAAAAAAAAAAACCTCAAATACTCATTTCATAGGCCTCAGATATTTAATGTGACGATGACTGCTTTTCTGTTTTAGGGAGGGATGTGCCTCGGGTCATGTGGTCACCTTGAAGTGCACAGGTAAGAGTTTTAGACAGGGAGACTTGCTGAGCCCTGCCCCGGCCTCCCACAGTCAGGGGGTACCCACCAACTCCTGCAGTGATGAGGAGGGACTCAGCGGACTCCTGCTGTCCATGGGAACTGGCTGACATGCTGGGTGTTTCATTATGAGGGGGGAGGCTGGGCCTTGGGAACACTGCAGACTGATGGGGAGGACTCTTTGTTCGCACAGGCTATTTACTGCACACCTCCTCCCCGCTAACCCTGCCTGCCCTCGGGGCTCCCACAGAGCCTGTCCCTTCCCTTGGCTGCTCCTGCAACACTGGTCTTAGAACCACTGTGAGCTCCGGGTGGGGGCAGCTGTGATGTTGGGGAGTAGTAGGATAGGGGTGACTGTTTTCCCAGAAGTCTGTGGTCTACCCATAAGCCCTTGTTCTCCCTCTGTAGATTGTGGTCTGAGAGCAGGCTTCAGCCCACGCATCGTTGGTGGGAACATGTCCTCGCTCGCACAGTGGCCCTGGCAGGTCAGCCTTCAGTTCCAGGGGTACCACCTGTGTGGGGGCTCTATCATCACGCCCCTGTGGATAGTCACTGCTGCACACTGCGTTTATGAGTGAGTGCCCCTGGCCTGCTGGCGCGGCTCCTGGTCTTCCCAGACCCTGGTCTATTACTGAGTCAGGCGGGGGACAGCACTGATCTGGGTGGTGAGCAGCAGGTCCAGAAGGCAGGGAGGCCAATCACTGTAAAGCCATGTCTGAGGTGAGAAGCTCTGCTCTCCTCACCACAGACCCATCTCTGGGGCCAGGAGTGACTGGGACCTGAGCTCATTGTAAGGGTTCAGGCCTGCAGCTTGTACAGTAACTGCAGGAAGAAGAGAGAAGAAGGTCCCATGTAGGGGGCAACTCACCAAAATAAAAGACTCGACACTTTCCCATAGCTAATACAGAAGATCACATTGTGGCCAAGACAGGGTTAGAGGGTGTGTTTGTGGGGTGGGAGTAGAGAGTACATGGAGAGTGCTGTCTCCCCAAAAGCAGTCTCTATCAGGAGTTTAGAGGGTAAGAAAGCCGCAGACAAGACTTCCAAACCCAATGACTAATTCGCCACTATTTTCCCCTCCTCTGTTCTGGTTGCAGTTCACTGGAGAGTGGCTCTGATAGTTGCTTCCCAGAGAGCAAAGTTGAGCCTAGTTCTCAAATGTCCTTGGTGGTGCAGAGTGAGGCCCGTCTAGGAGGACACGGGGTTTGGGTTTGTGCTTCTGCAGGGCGTGGGAGCGTAGCCAGCTGTAGGGCATAGACATGAGGGTCAGTCTCCTGCCTGGTGACCTCTTCCTGGGCTCTCAGGACACCTGAGGTTGTGTGGTGGGTTTGTCCTGGGCCTCACCTCTCGGTGTGTTCATTTCAGCCTATACCTCCCCAAGTCATGGACCATCCAAGTGGGTCTAGTTTCTTTGCTGGACAGCCCAGCCCCCTCCCATTTGGTGGAAAAAATCATCTATCACAGCAAGTACAAACCAAAGAGGTTGGGTGATGACATCGCCCTCATGAAGCTGGAGGGGCCGCTCACCTTCGACGGTATGTCGCTTTCCTGTCGGTCTGTTTCTTTCCCCTTGTGTTCAGAAAGTTTGTGATGGGTTGTTGAAGCATTTTTATGACAACTGCTTTACAACCCTTGTCAAAATGTCAGGGTCAGAAATTTCCAGTGTCTGGCTCACAGGGGGCGTTGGTGTCAGTGGGTTGCCTTTGCCCATTAAAATTGGGATTTCCCTGTTCTTGGTGTGGTTGTAATTTTTAATTGTGTCCTGGACCATTTGGCTATTACGTTAGGAGACTCTGAGTCCTGCATACATTTTCAATCTTAGCAGCTGATCACCCTCTTTAGATTCAGGTTGTAGACCTGGGCTGTGGTCCTAATGCTAATTTAATTTCAGAGTCCTCTTGGTTCCACTTTGGTCTGCTTGGCCTGACTGCCGCCATCTAGAGGCAGAAAGAGCTTTTCCAGGCCAGGCCTTCTGGTGCCTCTAGGTGGTGGAAGAGAGTCACCTGCCGGTAGGGAGTCACGAACACCAGGCTGTCAAGGGCTGCCTTGCACTTTTAAGGTGTCTGAGGTGGTTTCTCTGACTTAGTTGCTTTGATTGACCAAGGCTGGACCCTTTGGTTAGTGCTCCTCAGAGACCTGAGGTCAGAGCAGTTGTTTTCTGGGTGGATGCTTCATGGGGTTGAGGTTACTGTTTTTCCTTCAAACAGAGATGATCCAACCAGTCTGTCTGCCCAACTCTGAAGAGCACTTCCCAGATGGAAAAGTCTGCTGGACATCAGGATGGGGGGCCACAGAGGATGGAGGTCAGTGGTCTAAAGTCACATTCTGAGCCTAAGAGCCCAGAGCCCTGAGGCCAGGGAAAGGCTGCTGTGTGATGTCCCCATGGGATGCCTGGAGGTCCCAGCTGTGGTTCCATTTGTTTGGGACATGTGAAACTGCAACTTCTCAGGAAAGAAAGTGAGCCACGAGGGAAGACCATGGGTACAACTTGGTGGCTGTACATCAGAGAGCCCCTTCTTCCAGTCTCCCCCTTCCTCCTCTCATCCTGCTTAATAAGTGTATATGGAATCCCCTCCTGATGACCCTCCAATTGTAATGGAGAAAGACCCCTGGAGGTGCTATTTTATCCTTCAAGGTTAAGTAGAAAATGCAGCTCAGTGGGGTCTTGCTGTTATAATAACAGAAGTAGCAATGTTGACAATGGGAACAATTCATGCAAATGTAGCCTGTGTCTCTTCCATCCATGTGGGGCAAGGATGTGGTTTTCATGCTTGGTTTTCCATCGATTGCTTTCCTTCTTTGTGGATGAGCATTTGTTTTCTGTGGCTGCCGTAACAAATCACTACAATCTGGGTGGCTTGATCGATAGAGATGCATTGTCTCACGGGCCTGGAGGTCGGAAGGCAGAGGTCGGGGTTTCTGCAGGGCTGGCGCCTTCTGGAGGCCTGAGGGAGAGTCTGGTCCAGGAGTCTCTGCCAGCAGCTAGTGGCCTCAGCCATCCAAGAGGCTTCTTGGCTTTGTAGATGCATCACTTCCATCTCAATCTGGTCTTCAGGTGCCTCCCACCCCACACCTCTGTCTCAGATCTCCATCACCTTCGTCTTTTAAGGACACCAGGGGAACACAACTGAGCCCAATGCAGAAAGTTCAGAGTCTTCCTTTGGAGACCTAGTGTTGAATCTGCCCCTCCTGAAGGCACATGGGGCTCACCCAGGGCAGAGGGTCTTCAGGCTGTGCTTGCCCACACTCTTCATCCATACCCACAGTGGGGTCCACCTAGCTTGGGCTCTGCACAGCTTTCTGTAGTTTCATCCCAGCCACTTGGCCAAGGCCTTGTCCTGGGCCAACATGGTGGGTGTAGGGGCTCACAGCTCCATCAGAATCAGCATCATGGTTTGTGGAGGGTGGCAGGGAAACCAATCCTTGCTCCTCTTCCTCTCCTGCTGAGTTCTTATTTGGGACCACCCAACCCACCAGAATGGTTCTAATGGTGTGAGACTCTGAAGATCTCTCCTCCCACAGCAATCCACTCTGTCCCACACCAGGCTGATGATGCCCTCTCCCTGCGCAGGTCTGTTCATGACCTTGCTATCTCTTCTACCCTGTAGGAAGCTCTCCACACTCGTGTAGAGTGGCGTTGCGCTCCGTGTCTCCATGTGATCCCAGGCTCCTTAGAATATCCCCTGAGGGGTATTATGATTCTGCTCATGTTTAGATGAAGAAACAGACTGAGGGGGCAGGCTCCTTTCCAGTGTCCCACAACCAGCTGGTGCAAGGCATGGATTCTCTTTTCATGCTCCCCACCACGGCCTCCACCATAGGATTCAGAGAACCCAGAGACAACAGTCTCATTGCCTTCGCTGAGTCCTTGGGTGAGAAGGGACCAGTACTTCTCTCAGCCCGATGTCAAGACCAGACAGTCTCCACTGAAGGATGCAGATGTGTGGGAGGATTTAGGGAACCCATGCAGACAAGATAGGGTAACACCTCATTGCACACTCAAGATGCAGGTTTTAAGCAGTGTAGGCCTGCATGCCCATGCTGGTGATGGAGAGCGGCATCTCCTGCTTCAGCCTCCACCACCTACTCGCCAGTCCCTCAGTGCTGGCAGTGAGCTTGACCCACTGCCGGGGCATGTGTTAGTCTCCTGTGGCTACTGCAACAATAGATTCCCCCAGTTCAGTGACTTGAAGTGACCCACACTTGTTACCATTCAATTGTGAAGGGCAGACATCCAGAATCAGTTTTGGGGGGCTGCAATCAGGGTTGGCAGACTGATTCCTCCCTGAGACTCTGGAGGAGGAGACTTCAATCCCTTATTTCTTCCTCTGAGAGTCTTGGCTTGTGGTCCTTTTCCCCACATTCAAGGCCAGCAGTGCAGCATCCTCAAGCCTGTCTCTGACTCTGATAATCTTAGTCTGCACTCTTCAACTTCTGCAAAGTCCCTTTTGCCATGTAAGGTGACAGTCATGGTACCAGAGATTGGGAGGGATATTTTTCTGCTGACACCCCTAGGGCTCTGCCCAGATGCTGTGTGATCTTCATGATCCCCCTGGTCCCTGCATTCGATGTTGGCTTCCTTCTCACCACAGCTTTCCACCCTTGCTTTGTGGCAGGTGATGCCTCCCCTGTCCTGAACCATGCGGCTGTCCCTTTAATTTCCAACAAGCTCTGCAACCACAGGGATGTGTATGGCGGCCTCATCTCCCCATCCATGCTCTGTGCAGGCTACCTAAAGGGTGGCGTGGACAGTTGCCAGGTGAGGGCTCCCCGTGACCCTGGGGCAGACACAGTGGGCGAGGCTCCAGTATAGTAGTGACCCAGCCCATGGGACAGGCCACTGACACTGATTCCCTGTGACTGGACCAAAAGCAAATTTGCACAGTGCAAGGAAAGAATTTGCTTAAGATATCCCTGTCTTTCCTGGCGGCCAGGCCTGTGTTTACCCAGCCCTCCCAGTCTGACAGGCACAGTTGGCGGGTGGGGGCTCCCCCTGCTCCTCTCCAGACCTATTCTGAATGTGTAAGGGGACAACCGGGCATAAAGCAGGTTGGAACTGGTGGATCTGGGCCTCCAAAAGCCACAGTGGGTGGGACCTGGTGGACCACAGGTGCGTTAAGGTCCAGCCCAGGTAGACCTCCCTCTGGGAGATCCTTTGGTTACCCCTGATCTTCATAAGGTCAGTATCTGGAAAGTGGAGGGAGACACAGCTCGAGGGAAGCCATCCCGGAGGGAACAAGGGACCTGGCTCTTGGGAACGTCAGAGATCGTTTTAGAAGGGTCAGCAGGCAGGCGTGCAGAGTCACCTGTTTGCAGAATTGGGAAAGGGAGGTCTATGCCATCATGAGGAGCAAAGAAGATAAGAATGCTAGGGCCACCCCCTGACCTTTGCCTCCTTCCTGCCCTCTAGGGAGACAGCGGAGGGCCCCTGGTGTGTCAGGAGAGAAAGCTGTGGAAGCTGGTGGGCGCCACGAGCTTTGGCATTGGCTGTGCTGATGTGAATAAGCCTGGGGTCTACACCCGCATCACCGCCTTCCTGGACTGGATTCATGAGCAGATGGAGGTGGGTGCATTCAGTGTGAGCACAGCACTATTGCAGAGAGGTGACTCCCAGGCTGATGGGTGTGAGCCTTCCAGCACAGCTAGTCCCACAGGTGGGGCCCTGTGTGGGAGGGAGGGGCTGGGACCAGAAGAATGCACCCAACAGGGAAAGGACAGACCCCCTTACCATGGGCTGTGTTGAACATGCAGAACGATGGTCGGTGAGGTGGGGCCAGTGGGGAGATTCCCAAATACCGCCTATGGAGCTGGCACCTTGCTAGGAGCCAGGTGGAACAGAGTCTCCAAACAGGAGGCGTCTGGGCAGCTCTGCTTTAGGGGCGGCTTCCCTGGGAGGAAGGCTGGAGGGGCTGCTGGGGGCTCTGGTCAGTCAGACTGGCCTGACTGGCCCCAGCAAGCAGCGGGACCCTGGGTGGGCAGGGGGAGCCCTGAGCCACTGGAGGGCCCCAAGCTACCAAGGAGCAGAGTATCAGTTGCTAGGCACCCTGGTAAAGGGATTTCTGCATAACACAGGCCCCACCACATTGGTAGACAGGTAGCAGTGACCCTACCCTCCTGAGCTGGGGCGAGGCTACAGGAAGGCCAAGCTCACTGGGATACTAGGCAAATATTTGCTAATTTGACCTCAGACCGAGTCTCATATTACTCTTTGGGCCAGTTTCAAAGACCTTTCCCCTCTTAATTAAAGTGAAATTCACATAATATAAATGAACCATTTTGAAGCAAACAATTCCGTGGCATTTGGTACATTGACCATGCTGTGCAGGCACCCTTTTGTCTCATCCCAAAGCCTTCTTGTCAACCCTGAATGTAGCAGTCGCCGCCGGCCCCTCCAGCAACCCCCAGTCTGTCTTCTGCCCTTGTGGTTCAAAGGTCTTTTTAAAATGCTCCTGTAATTTGAAGCAGTTGACTAAGTCCGCCAAGCTCTTCCCACTTCCTCGCCATTGGTTTTTTTTTTTTTTTTTGTCTGCATCCTGTCATGTTCAGAGTGAGGTCTGGGGCTGGTTTGGGTCCCAGCATTATTGCTCCCTAAAGGTGACTGCAAGCTGAGGACCTCCCTCCTGCAGAGTATAGTGAAGCCTGCAGGGCCAGCTCAGGGCAGGCCTCCGTGCTAGTCACAGGCCCGTGGGAAACGGTCAACTGGTATCACTTGGCTATGACAATGCAGCCTGCCTGGAGCTGGGCACAGAGCACATGGAATGCTCTCAGTACAGAATTCAGCCACCACCTGCCTGCCCCTTGGAAAATATCAAATAGACATTTGAACAGGTGACCTACTTGTGCCAAGGCCACTAAGGGTGTGTGGGAGGAGCCTGGGGCACCAATGGGCTATCTGTGCATGGAGGTGTTGGCAGGGGCGAGCAGTGGTGACAGTCAGCAAGCATGCCCTCCCTGTGGCTGCTTTTAGGACACAGGTCCCATGTGGCTGAGCTGGCAATCCTGAAAGTTGAGATTGCAATGTTGGAGGGTTTGAAGTAGAGAACCCGCTCCCGATCCTTTATGCTGTTAAGGAGCGCAGTGCAGCTGAGGACAAAGATTCTACTGTCACACTAGGGAGCTCATGACAGGGATGATGTCTTAGCTCAGATCCTCTGGCATTGCCCTAATGGCAGATCCTATGACCCTCCTCATATGACAGAAGCTAATGTGACTCATATTAGCTCCCCCAGCTAATAGGAGCAGAGTGTGAGTCTAACCAGATCCAGGACTGGAGCCCAGTGTGACACTGCACAGCAGAATGGACTCAAACTTGGGGTGTATAATGCTCTCCTTGGCTCTTTGCTGAAATTGAGGAGTCTCAGGCCCTTTCTTCCAGACAGTCTCACTCGGGTTCAGGGGTGTGAACCTGCTGTTTTTAATGCATGAGATCTTCAGGGACCCTTTGAGAAATTCTGGTACTATTACCAGAGACAGGAAAGGGCTGAGGAGGATTCCTGATGAGAGAGAAGTGGATAGAAGTCCTCCCCCCAGCTTCCCAATTTCCACGCCAGTCACAGGAACTTGAAATGCATGATGGAAAGCATCTTTCACCAAAGAGGGAAACTCACAGAGTGGAACGTTAGTAAAGGTTTACTTAGTGAAGCAGGGAAAAGCAGAGAGAAATAGAAAAGAGAAAAGGGAGCACCCCTGGCACACCGGAGGTGGGAGCAAGAAACTCACAATGGCGGCTCTTACCCTGGTGTGTTTTTGCCTTCTGGACTGAGTACCCCACCTTGAATGTCCACCTAGGCATGTGCTCATATCTCCTAATGACCCCTAATCATTTTAAGTCCCCAAATGTGGAGACAATAGGGTTAGGGTGGCTCTATATTCAAAGGGTTTTGTGACCCGGAACATTCCTTTCTGTCAAAGAACTGCCTCCTTTTCTCAGTACTCACCTAGTGGGATGACAACTCACGTAGCATCTGAAGGAAGGGGTGTGGCAAGGGGCCTTCCATGTCCCTTAGGGCATCTTAGACATCAGTGTCTCCGATCATCTGAAGGCCTGCATGAGATGTCATCAGCACACATGCCTGCTCCCAAATCTTTCTCCAGACAGCCCGAGAATGACCCAGAAACTGCTTCCTTGCCCGTAAGAGGTCTCCCGGGTCTTAGTTGTCCATCTGAGCACCAGCATGAGGCCCTTCCAAGGGCACAGCAGTCTGAGCCCGGCCCACAGGACCCCACTGCAACACCATCATTCATCCAGCAGCTCTATCTAGTTGGGCTTAAAGCAAATCATCCTCACTCAAATCAGACCTGGGAAACACAAGGTTCAGACCTGGAACTTTCAGGTGGAAGTCAAGAAACCACCTCGGCACAGCGATGAAAGCTGCAGGTGCCTTCTTTGTGGGAGTCTTGTTACACCTGTGTGGGACCCACATGGCGGTGACAGCGTCCTCCTTAGAGGACAAGCTTGTCCCTACTGATTGCGGAGGATGTTTGGGGGGAATACAGGGGCTCATTGGTCATCGTGTCAAAGAGATGGCTTGCAGGGCTAAAATGGTGATGTCTTTGTTTTCACTTTTAGAGAGACCTGAAGACTTGAAGAGTCGGGGACAAGCCACCACCTGAGCTCCTGAGGGCAGACACAGCCTGATCCTTCCCTGGACTCCTGTGTGGGCACACCGGATATGACCTCCTGCCTTCTGTGTTCTGCCTGCCACACTGACAGCAGAGCCAAAGGGAGACACAGTGGCCTCACCTGGACCAACCTGTTCCTAATGCCTCCAGCCATAGGGCTTTGAGCTGAAATGACCTTAAGGCTCCTTTCTGACCTTCACTTCCTCTCTTTGCTTGTCCACTCCTTTTTCTCTACAGGAGTCATGCAGAATAACTGACAAGCCTGGTCACATGGGCAGGCACCTGGTGAAGGCCTGGTGGCCCAGAACTGCAGGTGTGCGATCACCGGAGACTTACCCATCTGCATATTTTAACCGCGGGCACCAGACCCAATCCCAAACTTTCTACTCCAAGATCTCTTTCCACATGTGGGAAGCTTAATCTGCGAATGGGTTAGCTTGGGGCTTCATTCCATCGTTGTCTTGTAGCAGCTGGTGCTTGACGGATCATTGGCGAGATGTTGCTCCAGACGACAGAGCCTGTTGGCTTGCTCTGTGGTCGCACTTGGGTGAATGAACCCTCACGACTCACGTGAATTGAAACTAATCTTGCATCACAAGCTTCGATGACTTTGATTCTTCCATATACATTGGGGAGTTTGCATTTTTCTCTTAGAACTGGTTTCTTGGCAGATTACAACGACCTCCTATCATGAGACTCACGGAGTAAGAAGAGAAAGAGTCCTGTGGGAAGGCAGGCTGCTTCCCAGTGGGTACGAAAAGCAAGTCGAGTGGGCAGTCACAGGCCGTCACTAAGAGGCCGGGGGCTGCACACCTCTCCGTGCACTCTGTTAATCTAGCACCACCTATAGGATCGGGGCCCTCCTGGCTGCCCACACCCTCACCGTCCCGTATCACCCGGTAGAGAAGAGGGTTAGCTGGTAAGTGGTGTTGGTGCTTATCCCCATGAGTCATCAGAATATGAATCAACTGCTTTGCCTCGTGGGAACAGTGGACAAGATTGGTGAATTCAGAGGAGAGGATGGAGAAAAGTTGAACTGCCTGGGGGAAAGCGCAGCACCAGGGGCTGGGTGTGATGGGAGGAGAGGGGAAGGAGAGTTAAGGCAAGCTGCCTGGTGGCCAGTGCTTGGACTCAGTCCTGCTCAATCAGAGTCACTACACAGGTCTCAGGGGAACTCCCCAAGGCCTTCCATGGACTCCCAAAACCGTGGGTGGAACTGAACCCTGTAGATTGGTTTTGCTTATACATGCCTACCAATGACAAAATTTAGTTTAAGTAGAGGTGAACAATAACAACTAATAATAAAATGGAGCGATTATAAATGGAATAAACGTGTGAATGTGGCCTCGCTCTCAAAATATCTTATTGTACTTTCACCTTCATTAAAAGGAAACACTTCATGGCTTGTCTACGGCATATCTAAATTGCCAGCATAAAGGTGCCAGGGGCCGTTATTAAATAAAAAAGGGTCACTTGAGCACAAGCTCTGTGAATTTGATAACTAAGATGACTACTGAGTGACTAATGGACCGGTTGTTAGGAAAAACGCCGCTCACAAAGAAAGCTCACGAGAGAAGTCTCCCGTCCATAGAGCAAAGTTTAATGGCAGGCCCAGCCTCTTGGTGAGGGGGTGGGGGATGGCACAGCATCGAATCTGGGCCTGGCGTGGCTTTTATAGAAGGGGGAGGGTAAGTCTCTGGTAGGGGTGGGGCTGTCTTGGGAGTGGGAATTTCTGTTAAGGGCAGGGCTGTCCCTGGGAGTTTCTCAAGTGAGGCCTGGGGATAAAATGGCTGTGGATTTACAAATGGCGACATTATTGTTCTGTCACCGGTAGCATAGGCATTGTGGATATGCTGGGCACAAGGATGGTGTCACATCTTGGGATGGCATGAGATTTCATCACTCTTCTCAGAAAGCCCTGTAATTTAAAACTTACACATTGTTTATTTCTGGAATTTTCCATTTGACATCTTTGGAGTGCAGTTGACTTTATGTGATTGAAGCTTTGGAGAGAGAAGTTTCGGCTAAGGAGAACTACTGTAATAGCGAAATATTGAGCCATTTTCATTTTAAACACTTTGGCCCAGATCTCTGTGAAAGTGGTGGCAGTTCCTGTGTTACATATTCAAGTTATGAAAAGAGAAAAGACTGCATCTGTGGTCATCTCGTCGAAATGGCTCTGGCCTGTGGTGGCTTCATTCTTCAAAGACAAGTTTGGTGTCTTTCAGAGGGTCTCGGATGGTGCAAATCAGAGTACCCGGGTGCCTGGCTCTGTCCTGCGCACGCTCACATGTTTACGGTTGCATTTTCCCCACAATCCTACTGTGACAGTGACTGCTGCTCTGAGAGTTGTCCTTGGCAGATTACGTCCACTCGCCCTCCCTCTGCCCGTCCACAGGCTTGCTTCTCTCTAATCTTTTTGCTGGGACTTAGTCCCTTCTGCCTGGCATTCTAAATTCTGGAAAAGAGCTCCATCTAAATGATTAAGATGTTAGCTGGTAAATAAGCTTTCTTTAGACTTACAGAATCTAGAGCATCTGGTGACCTTTAGACAATTCTCCTCGTCCTGTTCATGCTGGGGATTGAGCCCAGAGCCTTGCACGTGCTGGCCAATGTTCTACTACTCGAGCCGTACCCCAGCACTTCTGTTTGTATTGTATTTTTCCGATGGGGTCTTGATGACTTTTGCTGGGCTGCCTCTTATAATCTGGGATTATAAGCATGTACCACTCTACCCAGCCCTTCCTTGTTCTTTTAATCCTGGGCATAACTACACAAAACATGCAAACTTCTGAGGCTTAACTTACAGAAAAGTAATGCATCTGTCTGAAAAGAACTACAGGAACTAGCCCCTGGAGGGAGAGGTCTGTTGCAACGTCCAGGACAGAGAAGAGGAGCAGAGGATGAAGACCTCACTTAGCATGTAGCTTTCCTGCCCTGCCCCCTTCCTTCCCTACAGGAGCCCTTTGCAGCTTGAGCTCCTCAAGACGGAGCTTTGAGGATGGTGGCCCTATCCATCTTCTAAGGTGCTGACCCTTGATTAAACCTTAGTCCTCCTCACCAATTCCCATCTCCTGGATATTGACTTTCAAGTGATGAACAACCAGAACCTTATTTCAGTGATACCGAGAAACAGGGACTGTCATGAGTCTGAGGTGTGAGAAGTGAAGCACTTTCCCAAGGTCACGTGTTGGGGCAGAGGTTTAACTGGGACTCATCATCCCATCAGGAGTAAAAGCAAGGTGGAGCACCAGACTCTTTGGCATTTGGCTTGAAAGGGACTTTGTGCTTCCTTTAAATCACAAGTATGCGATTTACTTCTCCTTCCTCTGAGGGAACGTTTGGTCCTGGCACTCACAGCTCAGGGCCACAGGTGGAATGAATGAACCACAATCATACAATAACCGTGCTATCTCTGTGGAGTGCCTCAGTGTTGTCTTAGAAACCAGCACACATTTGACTTGGAAATAGGGGAAAACTGACCCATGGATAACATATAATGTTATGTCTTGATTAAACGTTACGACTTGTTAAGAAGTACCCATGTTTCTCCACTTGAAAGCATAAAACCAGCCATGGGGTGTGTGGGGGGAGAAATTGTGACATCACTGCTTCTTCTACACTGCGTCCTGTCGACCTCAGGTGATGCAACTCAGGTAGAAACACAGTGACTCAAGGTCAAGTTCACAGAAGAATGGTCAGAGTGGTATCGAGATGGGTGAGAAGTCACAAGACAGAGGTGCTTTTTTTGTCTCTTTTGAAGAATGGAAAGAACAGCACGGTAGTAGTATTTCAAATCTGTCTTCTAAGTACTGGGGTTGCATTTAACGGTGAGGAGCTGGACGCTTCAGACACTTCAACCAACTAGAGGCTTCCACTCTCCCTCCTTTCCTCGGTGAGGGACCAGCAGAGAAGAAGGCAGCAAGGGTAGAGGGGATCGCCGCTTGGCACCAAGTTATCAAGTTGACACCTTGACAACTGCCAACCCATCTCACCACCTGGAGTTGCTGGTGCAAGTAACACAGTGTTAGGAAATCTGATGCCCGATGTTGATTAAAAAAAATGTCACATCCTGGCCTGGCCTGCTGTTGTTGAAGAATGATTCATGACATACAGCAGGAAGGACTTGTGACATCCAATAGAATAACTTGTGGCATGTGGCTGATCCCCTAGCCTACACAACCCTCAGAAAAAGAAAAGGGAAAAGACTCAGTCTGACCATCCAAGGCCAAGAACTCCCCTGCCTGATGTGTGGGAGAAGCTGCTGATGCAGCTCCAGTTTCCCAGGAATGACCACCTTCAAGTCAACCCTCGCTGGAGGTCTCAGGACCCTCAGTGAGGCTGCTCTTGAGCCTGCCTGCCCTCTGGTCTAAGGTTGTACTTTCACTTTGCCTTGCATTAAATAAAGCTGCTTAAGTCTCCTCTGGGTCCATTCTTGAATTCTTTCTCCCGTGAGACCAACAATCTTCTGGTTCCTGGACCTAGTGCCCCCAATCTGGTAACGAAAGGATAAAACCTCTGCACTTGAGACTGTCCGAAAGGGACCCGGCAGGCAGGGATGCTGTGCGGCGCTGCCACACTGGTACATTTTAATGTGTATATAAACTGTGCAATCACTTCCTGGAGGCACCAGGTTTTATACCGAAAACTATGAAGGGAAGGGAAGGAAAGGGAAGAGCAGAGAAGGGGAGGGAAGGGAAGGGAAGGAACCAGAGGTCTGCTTACTCCTATCCTCAGATGAAACTCAGAGACTCTAGAGCTCTGGGGAGAGCAGTCACTCCTGCCCACACCTCCAGGCCCCTAGAAAGTTCCAGACTGGGTGCTGTTTCCAGAGCCCAGCGCAGCTGCTGCCAGGGCCTGCAGTCTGGGTGCCTCATCTCAGCTTCCTCCTGGATTCTCAGAGGCCCCGTGGACAGCCCAAGGCTGGAGAACTTGGAGGGGTATGGCTGCCAGTGGCCTTGGGGCTCAGCCTCCAAGATGGCCTCGGGAAATGGGGGCATGCCCAAGGTCAAGAGTCTAGAGTCAATACTCCACTTCATCCACACAGGAAGGTCTTTATCCTACGGAGAGTCACGCCTTCAGGGGAGAAATGATCAGGAATGCTGCAGCCCCAGGGCCTCCTGAGGCTCAGGCAAGAGCTCCTAGGTGAGTCTGTGGGAGAGGGGGGTGGTCTGCAGTCTTCCTGGTACAATTAGTCCCCAGGGGAGGGGACTTAGGTCTGAGGTCTCTGTTTAGTAATTCCCAGATCACTCCCATGTGACAGGAGAGGAGGCTGTCACTAACCTCAGGAAAAAGCCAGGGTAATGCTTTTTTAAAGTATTTTTGATTTTCAGAGTCATGAGAACTAATTGCAAAAACGTACTTATTGGATGGAATGCCTTTTAATTGGAAACTTTGTTCATGAGGTCAGAGGTGTAGCTCAGTGGTAGAGTTTTTACCCAGCATGCACAAGGTTCTGAGTTTGAGCCCAGAACCACCAAAAGAAGAGGAAATTTTGCTTTGATCTAAATATAGAAACAATTCAGTCATGAGGAATAACACCCTCTAAATGTTGCCTCATTTTCCCCATTTGTTACATTGTGCAA